TCCCGTACGCGCAAGATCGCTAACGAAACGGCCGTATGCCCTCTTAATTACTGCAAAGCAGCCAACATCTAGTAGTTGTAGTAGATGTGAAGAGTGCGCAGGCATGCAAAGAGATATAATATCGTTTTCAGCGCAGATTCGGTCGAATTGAGGCGTAAGGTGGCTACTATGACCGTCGAGGATTAATAAGCGAAACCGGCCACGTACGCGCGAATTCGTTGATGGGATAAAGATCTTTTGTAACCAGCGTAGGCCAATCTCATTAGTAGTCCAGCCGTTATCCGAGACCTCAAATCGCTAGTCTTTCGGTAGGTTCTCGAACTAACTAGCAATAGCAACTTTGCCTTTGAAAATCACACATAGCGGTAGCGAATAGCTATCTGCGCAAATTGCTTCGATCGTAGTAACCCATTCGCGATTTCCTGGCTGTAGGAGACGTCTCCGACCGTAGTATTCAGCTCGCGTAACTACCTTCTGCGAGGATATAAGGCCCATCGCAAAGCCTGTCTCATCAAAGTTGTAGATATCCTCCGGTTGTATCCCGTGCTCGTCAATCACGCTTTGTACGGTCGCAAACCAGGCTTGCAGGGCCTTTGGGTCTTCATTCAATGCGCGTTGGTAGTCGTATCGTACTGAGAAGCGTGTTCGAAGCTCATCGCGACGTTCAACAAATTTTGATGGCCAATTCTTACCAACGGTAGGCGGAGGTTGGCTACCGCGTGCAGCAAGTAGGATATTCGCCATCTCTCCAATAGTAGCCGGTCTAGGCGCTGCTCCACGTGAATCCATAGAGATTATCCATTCAGTAAGCGCATCCTCTTCTAATTGAGTCAATTTATAGCGATTTGGGCGCTTATCAACGCGTCCAATTCGGCCGTGGGCGCGATGTTGCAGTGTTGAACGTGGTATTGCGTATAGAGTAGCTGCTGCGCGAATAGATTTGATGCGGCCATTTTTGATATCATCAAGGGCTAATAAGATCTTGCCCTCCTGATTGGCTAATTTCTGCGAGGATTCCGAGCGAATTGGTGGCATGGTAGGTGGTTGAAGTTGGTATGTAGGTAGGAAGACGCGATTTTCGATAGGGTGGCTCGCTCAACCGGGTGGCTCGGTCATGCGGGAATTACGTTAGTTGGCTGGTGAACGATAAAGTAAGCGGAATCGGAATCGAAATTGTGTTTGCGCCGATCCCTACTTTTGCGCAAACTTCGGGTGGCTTCCACGCACAGATATGAAAATGCGACACAGAAACGGTATCCCCTCGACCGGCCGCTAGTCACAATTAGCGTGGTTATTATCGCCATACACAGACCCACTCTATAACGCGTAATAATTGGCCAATCGCGTCTGAATACAGTAAGCAGGCTGTTAAATTGTAATTAAGGCCTAACTAGGCCTAATTAGATCTAGCTACCTACCTTGCTAATGTGCCATTCATCCCAACATCGACCTTTCACACATAGAGCCACATGGCCACACTCTAGGCAACCTGATCTTGACCGGCTAGTTCGCCCTATCTTTTCATCTCTCTTTTGCTTACATCTCACACATACTGATTGGTTACCTAGCTGAATTCGCTGGTGGTTTTGCCCTGGTTGCCTAATTGTTGTATTAGGTAGTGCAAAGGCAAAGAGCTGTTGGTAAAGCTTTCGCCGAAAATCTAGTTGGCTAGATAGCCTACTAGTCCCCTGTTGCTTTTGGGAGATAGTTTGAATGCGATAAGCATTAACAATTGCTGCATCAATAAAGAAGAAAAGCAGAGGGAACCAAACACGCTCGCACTTTCGATGAATATCATAAGAAGCCCGATATTGATTTGCAATATCTACACCACCCATATAGTGATTGTAGTCGTCAATTGCAGTAGGAATCTCAAGCTCCTTGGTTATCTCATCACCAAAAGGTGCACGCGCAATAGATGCGTTAGTAGAGGTTGCTGATGGGCGTTTCCCCTTTGTAGGAGTATATAGCTCTGGCGCATAGATAGTAGATAGTAGTAATACTATATTGTTATCCTGCCAGGCAAGGCAAAGAACCCCCTGAGCTTCAGATATATATCAAGTACCCCATGGGATAGATTTAATATGGTCCTTTAGCTCAACAAGCTGAGAAGGTATCCCATTCTGAGGGCGTGTAGTACCATATGCTCCACAGTATATGTCTCTTAGCTCTTTGAATAAGGCGACGGGGGTAAAGTAATTATCCATTAAACGAGGGGGTGCACTAACGGCAGTCTGCTCAATGACAGACAGGTCGAGGCACGAGAGAGATAGGCAAATCGGAGAGGAACAGAAGAGCGCACCAAGCACCACCAACAAGGCTGCTAGAGCACCATACAACACCCACCCAAGGGCGAGCGCTGCGAGCCCGGCAGCAAGTACTGGAGGGGCCAATCAAACAGAGAAAGAGCGTCAAAAAGAAGTAGTAACCGAATTGAATTAGAAGCGAAAGAAAACGACTCTCAAGGACAAGCATGCGAACAGTGTGTGTGTCCCGAAAAAAATATATTATCCTCTTTTTTTTTCTTCCATGAGGCCGTTCGCCGCCACTTTCCAAACCAGCAAGGCAAACTCATCAAACGATACTAATAGATCAAACAGAAAAGCAATGTAACAGACCAAACCAAAGAAATCAACGAAACCAAAGCAAGGATTTGCAAATCACCCAATCAGACAACGTACCAAAATCCGTCAGCAGTTCCCCCACTACACCATGTAGACAATATATGGTGCTGTGGTAGGCGAATTGGCTATGAGATTGGTAGGCGAATTGGTCATGGGGGTGGCGAGCCAATTAGCCATCGAATTGGTAGGAAGATTAGCCATCGAACTGGCCAGCCCAGGAAGCTTCTTAATCATCTTTAGAACCATTGACGCCGTAGGGCTAAGGCCTTTATATCTAAACATCTCTGCAATCCCCCATAGCCGGCTAGTCTAGGTAAACGTCCAAATATACCCATGTTCTGCAAGGGCGAAGATCTTGTAACCTTGTTGAATTAGCTTGTTAGGCATCTTGATAGTATGCTTAGAACGGACAAAGCAGCGAATCATAGTCTCATCGATAGAGATATTAGACCCTGGCTGGTAGTACTTTTCAGCAGCCTCTTTGAAGAATGAAGCTAAAGGGTCTACCTTATACCACCACTGCTTCTTATCCTTTTGTATCTCATCTTCGTCAGGTTAGGGTATATACAGATAACGCTTAATCTGCTCAAAGAGCTTGAGGGCCATATAAAGCGGAGGAGAATGTAGTGGTCCTTCTCGCCTATCCTGTTGCCAATAGTCCTCAATACTCGGCTCTTTATGAACACCTATATAGATAAGTATACCAAAGAAGACCTTGATCTCTGCGGCAGTAGTATCCCTCCAAGTACGCCTAGTAGATTCTTCTACTAGCTTTCGCGCTGCGTATTGATTGGTAGACTGGCTAATGAATGCAAAGATCTCTTCGCTGATAAAGAGTGTGAAGATTGCGTATGGGCTATCTAGGTCTAGGCCGCTCGGTAGGTGTAGCCGTGGAGGTTCAGAGGTAGGGACCAAGGGCCGAAGCCGGTGAGAGAGGTCCTCTTTGGTAGGCAATTCGGCAGTGATTTCGTTAAGCGTTCGCTTGCGTGTAACATTAGTAGATTTCTTTCTAGCCATGATAGGTTGATTGGTTGATTGATAGGCAGTCGGTAGGTAGGCCAGGTCGGTAGGTAGGCCAGGTCGGTAGGTAGGCAGATTGGTAAGGGTGTACGCGTAACTAGAGAAAACTACGCGTTGATGACTTAGCAGATAGTGGAGTTCCTATAGCCAATAGCCTATCTAGCTTTTTAGTGCGTTGATTGATTGGTTGATATCTTACACATCTGTAATCGCGCTATTGTGACTAGCGGCCGGTCGAGGGGATAACCAGTCCTCGGTTACATACCGCGCTCCGGTCTAGACCAGCTCCTTCATTGAACACAGCCTGGACTCTGGCAGCAGTTCCTAGCGCCTGTGGAGACATAGTGTTTACTTATGAGTCTATCTATGGTTAGAGGTTCGCAGGTTGATGAACAGAGGCACTCCATTAAAGTCGTTATTTGATGTATTGCAATACAATTAGTTTATTAAATTTCATAACTTACAATCTCACCTCGGCCCGGTATAAATGTGTCTTTTTCGTTATCTCCACCTTATGCAACATAAGCACCACACAACTTTCGGCAGTCCAACCTCCGCCGTTGGAACCAGCCACGATAGCCTAGAGTTTAATTGACAAACTCTATCAAAGCGACGAACTAAACACGGTTTCCTAGTTCTATGTAAGATGTAAAGCTTGAGCCAAGTACACCGTCCCGAATAATAATACAGAACAGGGAGGTCAACTAAGTGCGGGAGGGAGGAGGTGCTAACGACTCGAGCAAAGATCTAGAGTTCATTATTCGTTATGCAAAGTTACCTACGCAGGCCGTGGTACAAAATTTGACCCAGTCGAAGCACTTGGTGAACGTTGAAAGTTCTCGAGATCTTGGTTCACCTATAAATCTACTATCATGCTCCTACAACATAAGCACTACACAACTTTCGGTAGTCTAACCTCCGCCGTTGGAACCAGCCACGATAGCCTAGAGTTTAATTGACAAACTCTATCAAAGCGACGAACTAAACACGGTTTCCTAGTTCTATGTAAGATGTAAAGCTTGAGCCAAGTACACCGTCCCGAATAATAATACAGAACAGGGAGGTCAACTAAGTGCGGGAGGGAGGAGGTGCTAACGACTCAAGCAAAGATCTAGAGTTTATTATTCGTTATGCAAAGTTATCTACGCAGGCCGTGGTACAAAATTTGACCCAGTCGAAGCACTTAGTGAACGTTGACGAAAGTTCCCGAGACCTTGGTTCACCTATAAATCTGCTATCATGCCCCTCCCTCCTTAGGCTCCCGGGTAACACTGTTTTTTACATCGTTACTCTGTGTGGTTTATTTTAATTCATTCATCCATTCATCTTCACCTTCCACACGTCACGGTAACAACCATGGAACAAGTCGGGAAACGAATTTTGGCCAAGGTCATCGATGATGCGGCCGCAGCAGACCCCGATAGGAAGTTTGCGATCATCCCGAAAGGACTTGACTTATCCGATGGGTTGCAGACCATCACAATAAAGCAGGCGTCGAACGCCACGAATTTCTTTTGCAACTGGATCGAGAAGACGATTGGATTGCCAGCGCAGAACCGCGAGACGTTGGCTTACATGGCAGCCAACGACGTACGCTATTGCTTCTTCCTTCTCGCATGTCAGAAACTAGGCTATCAGGTAAGAACATTCGAAAATAGTTATCAGCAGCATACTAATCAAACACTAGGCTTTCTTTCCGTCTATAAGGAATTCGGATGAAGCCCACACCCACCTTTTGAAACTCATTGGAGTAACCAAGTTCGTCACTAGCGCAGAGCGTCATAGGCGTGTTCTCGAGATCCAAAGCTTTACCCCCGGCATCGAAGTCTTTGAGGTCCCGTCCTTGAAGGCTATGCTCGCCGCGAGCGACTTTGGCTCTTATCCATTCCCAAAGTCGTTCGCCGAGGCCGAAGATGACACGGCGTTGATCATCCATAGCTCTGGAACGACTGGTAGGTCTCCTATCTAATTACTAAAGTAATCAAACTAAACATCTGTATAGGAATGCCTAAACCAGTGCCTCTCACGAATGGCTTCTTCAGTACGATGGATGCAATTCCTCGGATGGAATGGCCTGTAGGCAGTGAGCCTGGTATTTTCTTCCAGAACGGTCAGAAGGATCTCGTCCTAAGCATTACACCGTTCTTCCATTTGATGGGGATGATCGGTCTGATCTTCACTATCTTTCATAAGACACCGGCTTTGATTGGCCCGGAAAAAGCATTATCTGTAGCGTTTTTGACCGAGCTTATAAAAATAGGTAAACCTACGGCTGCACTGATCCCTCCCTCGGTATTAGAAGATCTCGTTCACAACAACGCGGTTGCTTGTATCAAAGAGATGCGTGCTATCTACTTTGGCGGTGCTCCGATGGCGTCGGAAACGGGAAACCGGCTGAGCAAGTACACTAAGATAGTGACACTCATCGGATCTAGCGAGGCCGGCTGGATTCCATCACTGGTGCCTAAAAACCCAGACGACTGGAACTACTTTGAATGGCACCCGCAAGCCGGGATTTTTATGGAACCAGTAGGCGAGTGCCTATACGAGATGGTGTTCAAGCGCCAGGAGAACCGTAACCGGGACTTCCACGGTATCTTCCACACCTTCCCAAAGGTAGATATATACCGAACGAAAGATCTCTTCACTTCACACCCGACGACTCCCGGTCTATGGAAATTCTATGGCCGTAGAGACGACGTGATTGTTCTGAGCAACGGCGAGAAGTTCAACCCGGTCACGATGGAGACAATTATTGAAAGTCATCCGCTGGTCTCGAGGGCTGTGGTCGTCGGCCAAGCTCGATTCCAGGCCGCATTGCTGATCGAACCAAGCGGGCCCGAGATAGATGCTAAGGTGCTTATTGACGAGATCTGGCCAACTGTGCAGTCAGCTAACCAGACAATGGCCCAACACGGCCGGGTGATGAAGAACCACATCGGGGTCGGTTCGAAGAATAAGCCGTTCAAGAGAACCCCGAAGGGTTCGACGCAGCGGCAAGCTACTGTGCGAGAGTACGAGAAGGAGATTGCTGCCATCTACGTTGCTGGCCTAGGGGCGGAATTGGAAGACCATCTCCCAGAGACCCTCGATCAGGCCACCGTTAGAGACTACATTCGGCAAATGATTTCTCGCGTGCTAGAACAGTCTGATATTCCTGTGAATCAGAACCTCTATACTACTGCCGGGCTAGACTCCCTCATGACCATCCAGATATCTAGGATGCTGCAGAAGGGCATTCAAATGCGCCGACCCGACGTGAAAGCAGAGCTTCTGACTCCTCAGACGATCTATAGCAACCCAACCGTGGAGAAGTTATCGCAGGTCGTTTGCAATATCCTCGCAGGTAAGGTCTGGCAAGGGCAGACTAGCGTCAACCGAAAGGAGAAGATTCAAGGTCTAGTGGATAAGTACACGGCCGATCTCCCTATCCGCGACGAGAATTTCCCACAGAGTACCCATGCGCCCACTACCGTTATTCTCACCGGATCAACGGGCTCCCTAGGGACATGCCTGCTCAAGAGCCTCCTAGATACCAAGTCCGTGACGAAGATCTATTGCTTGAATCGATCCGACGCAGAACGGCGCCAGAAGGAGGGTCTCGAAGAGAAAGGTCTACATATCGATGATGATGGATGGAAGAAGCTGGAGTTCCTACAGGCATCATTTGGAGAGCCGCGTTTCGGTCTCGACGAAGCCAAATACCAAAAGCTCCTAGAATCCGTCGACACCATCATTCACAACGGCTGGAAAGTCGACTTCAACCACACGGTCGAGTCCTTTGAAGAAACGCATATTTGTGGCGTTCGGCGCTTCATCGACTTCAGCCTCCATAGCAACGCGCATCTTCATTTTGTGTCTTCCATCAGTACAGTCGGGGCATGGAGCCCGGCCATAGGCCCGTACGTACCAGAAGTGCCGATGGAGGACTGCGCGGTGGCTCTCGCACAGGGATATGGCGAATCTAAGCATGTAGCTGAGCGCATCTGTCTAGAAGCTTCCCGGCGAAGCCGCGTGGCGACGACGATCTATCGCGTGGGACAGATCGCAGGGCCGACGTCCCCGAGCGGACAGTGGAATCCGCACGAATGGTTGCCCACGATTATCGCTACGTCGAAGGCGCTGGGGAAAGTCCCCAATCGGTTGGGAGCGATTGCCGTTGATTGGATCCCGGTGGTAAGATTACTTTTGTCTAATTTTATCTATCAAAATTTTCAAAAGTTCCTTTCTGACGGTTATTAATAACTAATTATTTTAGGATACCCTCGCCTCGATCATGACGGAGCTCGTCAACACACGTCATGCCAATCGGTCCCTCGACCTTTGCTCCGTTTTCCATCTGACGAACCCGTCCACGGTGCCGTGGTCCTCGCTGATCCCAGCTATCCAGGAGAAATACAGCGGCGTGGAACCAATCGACCTAGCGGAGTGGATCGGCGAGCTCGAGAAGATCGAGAAACCGACTGTGGCGGACGTAGCGCAGAAACCGGGACTCAAGCTGCTAGACTTTTACAAGAGCCTGCTGAGCGAGAACTCGCTGGTCATGGAGCTCGAGGTCAAGCGCACGCAAGAAGCCAGCGCCACTATGCGAACACTCGGGCCGATCTCCGCAGCGCTGATGTCGAATTGGTTGCAGCAGTGGCGGTTCTAAGCAGAGTAGTACTCCAAATTATTCCCCCTCCAAATCATAAAAGTTTCCCTTTCTCAAGATTCTAAAGTTATTCACCGCACCATTCCCTGTCTCTATATACAATAAAGTAACTGTCCGTCATCTCCAGTGACCCAACTAAGCCCCCCTCTCTTCACCGATTTTCCTGCTCTCTAATCCTAGCCTTACGCGTGATCTCAGCGGGCTTAGTCGTAGCCTCCTGCGCCCACCGCCGCCTTTGTTTCTCAGCTTCTGCAATATCCCGCGATGGTATAAGGGTACAGAGAAGTGCAAATCCAACTTCACCAATTTACACTCTTTCATTCATTCTGGCCCCCACCGCCAAGACGCTAGCTTGAGAAATGGGTATATCTAAATGGACCTTCGCACATTACGTCATGAGCATTCTGCTTCACACGGCCATTTGGTAACTCAGTGTAGGCAAATACGACGAATGATATTTCACATTCGCCGTCAATATATGGCAACAAAAATCTCGGTTTCACCTCTCTCATTCTATATTGGCCCACCGACCTCTTAGCCTACAAAAGCACTAGATTGGGTAAGCTTGTCACAGTGAATCTTGGTAAAAAACTACCCAAACGCTGGCTGTACTTGGAAATATACAGGATATCTAAGTTCACTACTTCAACCGCAAGGTTTGTATGCCGAAAATGACCATGTGCACTTCTTCCTCTAGGCCCGACGACATCTAGGCTCTATTCAAGGGAATCTTGGAAATCTTGACCGGTGTGTTTCTGCAAATTTCTTCTCATGGATGCTTTGAGCTCTGAGAAGAACTCTTGGACCGGGTTTAGATGAGGAGAGTACGGGGTAAGTACTGTAGTACAACTAGACACCAGCATTCGAGAATAGCTCCCTTATTGGTTCACGCGTTGTCCACAATAAGCACAGAATTTGGGACTAGCCATCTACCGCAATGATAGAGAAGTTGTTTGATAAAGTCCTCGAACATGCTAGCATCAGTCGATCCTTGGAAAACTCGCGACATCAGGATGCCATCCTGGCAATACGCAGGGGGAATCTGGCATCGCTGACCCACTGGAAACGGGAAACCTGGACAGATGCCACCCCACGGGGAGACCGGCTTGTCCTCCTGAAGCCGGCCCGTTTGTCACAGGCTGATTCATCTATGTAGACAAGACGATACGAGCGCTGCGCAGGTTGGTAGGGAGGAAGAAGATTGAATAAGATAGATTGATCTTTCTTCCTCTAGTTGAATAGGAAGGATAAGTTCAATTCGGCTTAGGATCATAAAGATGAGAGACAAGTGAGGTAACTGAAGCTTGATTGATTGTATTGAATCGTCTTGTTGCTTATGAACATGATTCCTCAACATGATAATGAGATCTTGGTAGAGAAAGTAGGGCATATTTATAATCAATATTTTAAGCAAACTTATCAAACTTGTTTCTTGCATATGATCAATCCAGATAGATCTAGATACATTTTAGATGTATAGTGATCTCATGCAATAGCCGTTTGATTTGCAGTTACTTGATTGTACGATGTAATTCAATCGTAATGATGATGTAGATCGCATGACTATGATGCGTCTGTTCATGCCTGATTATCTGATTGGACAATGATGATATAATAGCATAAAGCTTATAGAGATTCAGAACATCGTTCTGGCCTTGGTGTAGGCCTTATGAATCTGGCCTGATCTGCTGCCTGACGGCTTAGGCATCTTGCCCGATATCTGACACTAGTCTTATATATAGTAAGCCCCTACTACGAGAGGGGGAAACACGTTAGCTCGCAGGAGCTGTATGCAAATTAGCGGATGACTCTCCTCCGGGGAAACAGCGGTGAAAGGGCAGGGATAGGCCACCGAATTAGTGCGCCATAGTTGACCCCCATGATTGATCTCCCGTGGTGGCCTTAATCCTAAGGCCTAAATGTGTGAATAGCCTCATAGTGGGAAATATCATAACATTCATTCATTTTTGAACCCGAGATTTCAACTGTCTTGAACATCTCTTAGGTCAGGCCTTAGCGATCCTTTGCACCGCACCTAGTATATCCGGACCTAATGTGACAAGAATGAGTTAACGCCTCTCGAAGCAACACCGCTATGATGCAACGGCGATTGGTTTAGTAACACGAAATATGCCCTGTACGGGTTGTAGGCAAGAATGCCATCGACGTACTACTTGCGTCTATTAAATTGAGATAAAACCTACTCAGCGCATGCTCTCTGAGTAGGTTTAGGGTGTGTCTTAGATATATAGATACGTACTGCTTTTTTCTGAGCGTCGGATATGCCTTTGTTGGGCTGGTTTGGTACAGCCAGCTTGGCTGACAGGGCGCCCGAAGATGGAGTAGAAGGGATCAGATCCTGCATTCTTATTGGTCGATTGATATAACTAAGCAAAATTGAACAGAATTTTGTGTGCCAGACAAAAGTGGGCATCCAGCTCACGCGTACCCAAAAAAAGTTCAGACGGACCCAAAAAATTCTGACTAATTTTGGGTACCTATGAGGTACCCGACCTCACACGTACCCAAACCTGTAGATTATATAATATTTTTTAATGCAGAAAATTTTTTAAACACCTTGTTTTACCCCTTTTCAAGATTATTACTAACCATCGAATTCCATAAGATGTCGGCGTCTTTACTCTCGCTATCGCTATTCGAGGATTCCGATTCTGACGTATTTATCTCTACGCAATCTACTACTAGTACTATATTAGAGATTAATTAAATTCTTTATAATCTTCTATCTGTGAGTGATCGTTTTATAAATGAGAGTATACATAAATCTTATATTTTATGTAACGAATGTGTGTATACGGCCGGATTCGAACCCGCGACCTTAGTGAGTTGAAGTAGAGATCTGATGAGATTAGGAAGGCGCGATAGCGGGCTCGCAGGAACGGAAGGAACGAAGGACGGAGGTATCCGTGCCTTTCTGCCCACCCAAGGCGCTTCCCGCTTTGGGTGCGCCCGGTGTTATGGCCATTCCGGTGTTATGGCCAATTTTCATAGAAATCGTCAAATTTACCACCCAACTAGCTAATTATCAATAAAAAAAAGCTCTCCCGCCCGTCTAGCCGCTTCCTCATTAGCAATTGCCCGCTGGATAGATTCCTCCGATCGCTGTGTGGGCTCGTAGCTATAAACCTTCTTGAACTGCTTGGCTAGCTTCCTTTCCTGCTTGGCCAATTCCTCCTTTTTCCTAGTATCAATCGATCGATTCGCATCGCGGGTAGTTAATATACCAGTCTGGCTAAGTGGCTTAACCTGTCGCTTGGTGTATTTTCGACGCACTGGGGCCTGCGCGGCCCTAATACGCTGAATTGTATCCCGCGTCATCGAAAGCTCCTCCGCTATCTCCCGCTGGTGCGCCATCAACCTCGATAGATTTCGCTGCATCTTATCTGATAGATCCTCGAGGTGTTTAGTAATCTTCGCCTGGTTCTTATATAGTGCTTCAATAGATTTTGGAGGGCTATTTTCAATACTAGAAGACGAGAGATTAGGTGGTGGTGGTGATGGTATATGCGAGCCCCATAAGCGAAGATCTGGTGCGTATAGATCAGGAATCACCAGTTCTTTAGCAAGATCGTTAATAACCTTAGTACTATCAACTAGATAGATTCCGCGATCACTAAAGGATTCGCGGATAATTCGCTGCGTAAACGCCTTCTTGCGAATTAGCCCGATAATCGCGAGGAAATCTGATTTCCTATATAGCTGGCCACCCTAGAAAGCTAGTTCATTATTTATTAAGCGAAATTGCTGCTTATAATTCAAGAAGGGCTTTCCGTCAAGTGGCTGGCAAAGATGGGTTGAATGCGGTACGAATGCAAAAGGGATAATCGCATTATCCTCGCAAAGTTAAAGAAATTCGAGTGTAAGATACGCGCTATAGCCATCGAATATAAGAACGCGCTTTTCGCCCCGTTTCACACGATGAGCTGTCAATTAAATAAAATAGCCTAGCCAGGCTAGGGCTAATTTATTAGAAATCCAGCTATTAGGAGAAATAGCCGTCATCGTGTCTAGTGAGAGGGTTTTGCTACCGTAGAACCAGGCCTCTATAAGATTTTTGCTAGTTCCCTTGAATATAAAGAGAGGGTCTATCTACTAGCCGTCCGTAGTAATATACTCTAATACAGTAATATTTTCGCCTTTCTCGGTCTTAGCAAGGTCAGGGCAAGATGATTTAGCACCAATAACGTTTCGTGATCGCCCTTGACTAGGTTAAAACCCGCATTTATCGAAGTTGTATACTAGCCGGGCAGGGACGTTATAGAGGACCCGTTCTAGCTGGTCGTACCAGTGCTGAAGAAGGCCTGTATCTTCCGATTGGATTCGCTTTAGTTCCTTGGTCTTTTGCTTTACAGGGCCTAGGCCAAGGCTTTTTGGTAGGCGCTTTATAAAGCCGTACGCCCAGTTTTTACCAACCTGCCTATCTGGCTGATCTGTTCGCGCCAGTGCGCGATTTGCCCATACACCTACTACCGCAGGGGTAGGTGGGAGATTCCAGCCATGCATTTGGACTATCTAGCTAATCAAGGCTTTCTCCTGGTATAGCTCTAGGGCGTTTCTCAGCGATTTGGTAGGTGTAGTAGGCGATTTAGCTATTTCGACGCGATTAGCCAAGGTCTTGCGAGCCACGCCGAATTCACGCGCAATCTTAGAAAAATTCGGTTTTTTGCTGGATAAGGCCACTTGGCAGGCCTCGGCCAGGCGAGATTCATCAAAATTGATAGATTTAGGCATCGTTGGTGGTTGAATTAGCTAGTAGAAGGCTACTGGTAGAAAATTGGCCATAACACCGGAATGGCCATAACACCGGGCGCACCCAAACCGGGAAGCGGTTTGGGTGGGCAGTAAGGCACGGATACTAGAATCTACGCTTTCGTATCCTTTCTGATTAGCTCGTGATATTTTATACTAGCGACAAAGATCGGCCTCTGAAACTTTAGTGTACCAAGATTGCACTAATACATATGAGTTATCTGATATTGATTCTTGTGAGGATAATAACGAAAAAATCAGCTCCCTAGGTTCTACACCTTTTACGCAACGAAGTTGGTCGCGTTTAAGACTGTGGTGTTGTCAAATTCAGCCTGGTTTGGACCTAGGCCAGGGAAGAGTCTAAGATTCGATATATTGATGAGCTAGAAGTATTCAGCATATGCAAAATATATGGAGAAACGCGTCGGGGAGTAGAGTAAATAGATGTTCTGACCTTGAGTAAACACAGTGGGTAGTGAGGGAAGAAGAAGAGAGTGGTAGTGTTGCGGCGTTGTTGAAGATATATCTCTTATTTCTTTGTTGACACTTTTAACTTGGAACCCTATAGAATCTATATCTTTCTTTCAAACCTAGTAATTTATGAAAAGTAAGGCTATTTCTTTTATAAGTTTATAAATAATTAGTTCAAAGAGCCTTTATAATTATCATATAATATAGTATACAGAGTTGTATCGAGTTGTATAAAGATATAGTATATTTTAGTAAAGGGGGGGTTTAACTAAGGCTAAACCCTGTATAAAATACATAAAAGTAAGCATAATAACTCATCGGGACCCAAAATATTTTGGGTACGTGTGAGGTCGGGTACCTCATAGGTACCCAAAATTAGTCAGAAAATTTTTGGGTCCACGTGAACTTTTTTTGGGTACGTGTGAGCTGGAACCCGGACAAAAGTGTGCCGGATGGCGTTCTTATATATGGGAAAACTCAAATAAGTGGGTCCATCCAATAGATTTTGGTGCCTCCTGAAAATCTGTGAAAACGGGTGTTTACTAATGCCTGTGGGCAAGCGCGCTGATTTGCCAACGGGCGTCCTTATCAATGTGGCGTAAGTTTGCGGAGGTGGCAAGAGATAGCGACGTTTCCCCTCACCAGCACGGGCCTGGGGCCGAAGAACCAAGATTCTGAGTCTTCCGAATTGCTGGATACGATTCTGCATATCATGCTCTGAATATCATGCTTCGGCTGAAATGGCAGGTTTTGTGTCGCCATTGTGGGCCAAATCCTTCTCTTTCTGGATTGATTAATCGCCGGCTATGAGCGGCAATTGTGTGGACTCCAACTGGCGGAAGGAGGAGAGGATGGCTGATTTGATTGTGTGTTGTTCCTGATCCTTTCGGCCAAGCATGCTGGCTAACAACATGCAGGATCTACGCTACAATAATACATCTAAGGAATCCGGAGGCAGTAACGATAGCACCAACCAGATCTTCATCGACTCGTCTACATGGTCAAACTTCAGTGCATCGGGCGTGGGGACAGATGGTCCGACCGTTGCTTCAACGACGGCTGCCATTGAACCAGAAGTTGGCATGGCACAGATGCCAGAATTGGGTCTCTGTCGTCGCCATTCGCAGCGAAATCCTCGCTCGTGTGACTTCTGTCGGGCTCGAAAGACGGCATGTCGTGTGGAGGTGAGCCCACCTTGTGTGACATGTCGATCCCTCCGAAGAGATTGCACGTTCACCGAGAGGGCGAGAAAGAAAAGGAAACTGGGCCACCAGCCCACAAGGCAGGCAGCCCAAAGCCAAGGAAGTGGGTTATGGATATTTGAGTCTCTTTAACATATTCTCCTCCTCCTTCCAGAATCCCGGTACACGCGTAGGACACCTTTGGTTACAATTAGCTAACGAGCTAGTAACACCACAGATGCTATTATCCCCGATCTTGATATCTCCGAGCAGGATGCGTTTTATGCTGCCATGGACGCTGTCAGATTGCCACCCGACACCTCAAGTAATCAAGAGGACGCCGCTGTACAGAGACCCTTCCAATCTTCACCCTCAGATTCTCCAGAAGAGTTGTTCGCAGCCGACTGGCAGGAAAAACGGCGCCCATCAGACGGTCGGGGGGATATCCATGGTTTCTCGCAAACACGATCGATCGATCTCCGATCATCGCAGACATCCTTTCTACTGGGCGATACGGGCGAATCTGATCCTTATCTCGTACGGAGCTCCTCTCTCGCGAGCACTGGAAATGAGGATTCCGATGCCCCAATCAGTTACATTCAGATACGAACACAAAAAAATTGGCGACACGGAAGTGCCGATACTGGTCTTGATGAAGAAAGACCAATTGTGTTTATGCTCATCGACCACAGTCTCCACGGTCGCTACGAGCCTCGTGTGGACGAGGACGTACTCCAGAACGCACATACTTCCTTGCAGGAAATGTGCAGCGACGCAATCGGCGTCCGACTTGTGAAGCTCTACTTTAGATATGTTTACCCGTACTGGCCAGTTCTGTCTCGCTCAATGTTGTTCTCTTCCGAATCCAGTTTCGCAAGCAACGTTGCGAGTCTTTCGCTATCACTCAAGGCCGCTTTGTATGCCACAGGTCTGCCCTTCATGGTTTTCGACGAAGTGCTTGCCGCGCAGCTGGATCTGCAGAAGCTGTCCGCAAACAATCTCTACCGAATCTGTTGGCTGGCAATTACGCATGAGATCCACAACCCTCATCTTTCGACCCTCCAGTCATGTCTGCTTCTGCTTCAGAGAGCCAACGATGACCGTTACGTCATGGACTCTCCTTTTCGATGGAGTCTGCTGGCATGGACAATCAGCCTGACGCAAAGCCTTGGCTTGTCAACTGATTGCTCGAACTGGCTGGGAATTCCCAGCTGGGAAAAACGACTGCGGCGACGTCTGTGGTGGGCCGTTTTTATCATGGATAAATGGAGTTTCCCCAGTGCTGGTCTCACAACCCATATTAAACGAGAAGACTATGATACCCAACCGCTGACGGCCGAAGATTTCGCATCTACGGCTATCATCGAAGGATCCCCCAGGGATCTGACTACCGGTGATTTTACAGCGCAGCATGAGGACTCCCACTTTTATCACTTGGTCGAACTATCACGCATTGTCTCTGATATTCATGACGCTTTCTTCACTATTCGCGCCGCGAACGCCACGCGCCATGACTTTTCTCGGACCATTGAGCTCGCGCGGCCTCTTCGTTCCCGCCTTCAAATTTGGAAGGAATCTTTCAATATGTTCATCTCAAGACGTCAGCATGACACCCGCCGACACTCTAGGCTGGATGGGAATGTTTCCCTGAGTCTGGCATATCTTGTATCTGTAATGATTCTATTCAGAGCAATGCTTCGGCCTTTAGAAAGCTCTGCTGCCGCCAGGGGGAACATACAGGTAGAAGAACGGGGGAAAGTGGCCATCCGAGCTGGTGCAAAGGCTTGTTGTCTCGAGGTCGTACAGTTTGTCGAACAAATCCCCCGAGGAGCGTGGGACGCATTCTGGCACAGTTGTAAGTAACCTTGCCCTTCAATTTTCCTCTGTCATAATCACACCTCTTCATGGTCTTTCCAATTTGTCCAAAAAGGTTATATGATATCAGACGTGCCCGTCTTCGAAAATTATCTTCTTACATAACACTGGTTGCTCATCAAGCTCTCTTACAAACCTAGGGTCCCGGGCCAATTTCGCCACTGCTACCTCTTTCATCATGCGTCTTCTAGCAACAGCCACCTCCCAGAATGAGAAGGAGGAATTACATCAAATCATCAGTCGCTGGCGTTGGGAATTAAGATCCGGGAGTGGTAACGCAGGAAATGTCGTGACTAGCTTGGGGCTTCTGAGATTGGATACTTGGCTGTTGAGGAGTGGAATCCGTGTAGCGACTGAAAATGATGATTCAATATGAAAAGTCTACGAATTTAGAAAGGAGAGCAACTAAACGTGAGGACAACTCTACTTCCTGCGCGTAGGAAGCTCTGGAGAAAAACCAATCAATCTCTCATCTCTGGAAACTCTAGAGAAGATGAAGAAACGGAAGAGAAAACAACAAGGCTTATATGAGCCGAAAGCACAAAGATAGCAACGTGCAGATGAACAATCTCGAAGAGGAAGAAAAGGGGAGAATCTCCATCAATCATCCAAACGTCAGTCCTGCCGAGGAACAATCTGGAAGACGGCGGACTCTATCAAAACGCATAGTTATGATTAGTCTAATACAGTAACTGTTTCTTTCCGCCCTCAACATCAACCAGACCGGTAAGTACAGCACTATTCCCCACGTCCACCACCTCTAGTCCATCAATATGTTCCGATGAGCGGTCCAAGTCTGATTCTAATGTCCAAATCGATCTTGGAATAAGTGTCTCCTTCGCTGGGAAGAGCTTGCTAAGCCCTGCGTAGACAAACACAGACATCCAGAACGCAAACAGCCAGCCAAAATCATAGAGATGTTTCGCGCCGACTGAGATGTTGTTGATTTCGGGATTAATATTGTTAATGAGACCGGGGAGAGTTGGTCCGACCGCGGTGAACAGCGCTATCAACGCACGCCAGTTGATTCCCAGTGGGTAACGGTATCTCCCCTTCGGGTCATACAGCGCAGGTACATCGAATTTTCGACCCTTGACGATCCAGTAGTCTGAGAATAGAATGCCGGCGATGGGCGCAAGGATGATAGCGTACGAAGACATAGCATTAAGGAAGGTCTGTGCAGACGCCAGAATCTTCCACGGGACGATTACCCATCCGCCAACCACCGCCGCAAGGATGCAGCCGCGTCGGATGTTGATCCAGCGCGGGGAGATGACCGTAAAGTCGTTGGCAGCAGAGATGCAATTGGCGGTGATATTCGTGCCCACCTGCGCAATGTACCAACTCAGTGCGGCAAAAAATGCCGCTGCACGGCCGCCAGCGCCGTTCTCCAGCCATCGGCTTGTGATATCTAGCGGATTCCACAAATATTCGCCGTAAATTACCTTGGTGGCCGACGTGGTGATGATACTGATCACACCGCACGAGGTGAAGATGATAGGTAGAATGGGAATTTGAAGATACTGGCGCTCGCGCGACTTAGCATAGCGTGAGAAATCGGGCATGTTGCAAGAAAGGGTTGCCCAGTTTCCAGTAACCGCTGTCATTGCGTTCAACCATAACCAGGGGCGTTCGTTGCCATATACGGTCTCTGGAAGGGTGAAGATCGTACCACTACCTCCAGCAGCGTGAATGGCCCAGGCCATAGTAGCCAATGCCGTGAGAGGAGCCACAATCATTTTCGTTAGGAACATCCATCGGAGACGGGTGGGTGGAATAAGCAGAAATGGCAACTGCAAGCACCAGAACAGCACGTAGCTGCACATGCCTTGAGTGGTGATTCCAGCGGACGCTGGGAGATGGTTTGGGAGGTCCTTATACGAAGGCCAGATGGCGCAGAGCATGACGGTGAGAGAATATGATCCATTGACGGACTGGACACCCAACCAGAAGGTACCCATAACGGCTCGTGATAATATGGCAAAATACGCTAGATTGAATCCGTATCCCGATCTCACAGCCACAGCAAATGGGATGTGAAATTTGGCACCCAGCGCTCCATTGCCCAGCAGAGGTACGGCAGTGCAGACGCACGAGACGAACATGATGGGAATGACCTCTCGCCAGGTCAAGCCAACGCTGATGACGCTTGCCGCCGTCTCCCAAGTGCCAACGTTAATGCAGTCCGATGCCCAATAGGCAATCCATGTCCAGATAGTCCAGGTCTGGTACTTCGGAGGCACTGGATCCATATCTTTGTTGGTCCAGACATCTGGTGGAGCAAGCGTCGACTCGTGTTTCTCGAGTTCCCAGGCCGACAGATGCGTCATGCGGGCCCGCAGCCGTGTTTTCTCTGGAAGGAGGCCCATTGCGATGGCGAAAAATTGGAATCGACGATATGGGCCAGTGATTATAAATAGAAGTAGTACTTTTTAGTCAATTCCCTCAATTCATACCAGTACACGAGAGCTTGTGCTGAGCAAGGCCTTGAAGGATTAACACTGGCACTGCAAAGTCAGAGATAATTCGATGGAAAACACAGCAATATACGTTGGTTTGCCTCTATATTATTGTTTCCGTGGTCTAGGATAACAAATCTTAACATAGGCATCATTTCAATGCTTTGCCACACAAATGGTGGCTGAACAAGATAGTTGATTATCGAGCTTTGATAACCACTTGTTTTAAACAATCTTATCAGTATTAGTGTAAGACTTCTATGCTCAGATAAAGGCACTTCATGCTTAACATCTCCTAGGCTCCATATGCAATTGTTCATTCATCTCTACCCAAGTTCCCTTTCAAAGACTATGTTAAATTGTCCCACAGAGAGACATTCCGTGCCATAGAGTGACGATCATCCGTCCGAGATCGGGGGAGATCCATAATATCGATAGATAAGCCGAAAGAACCAATGAATGGACACGGACATGGACATGATAGGTTGGTTTCCTTAAGGGTTTAGCATCCGAGATAAGATGATCGGTATCCTTACAGCATGGCTCGTGATTGATTTGGCATTGACTAGAGATAGTCGTGCTTATCTATGTTATCAATCCGATCAAACCTGCTCCTCTCTAGACCCTGCATACCGCCCGATCAATGCTGCAGGAGGCATACGATCGCGATTAGATACCCAAGGAACTCTGATCGGACGGACGTGTCCCGAAAATTCGGGGGTGGGGAAGGGGGGGGAAAACCGCCGCGCTGTATGAATTACGTAAGAGCCTTGACCCTCTGCAGGTATCAATATATGTACTGAGCGAATTGCCCGCTTTTGCCAGAGCTGATACCAATAATTTCCTGAAGCAACACATCTTCACTGATATCTGATCCTAGATTCAAGCAATTCTCTTCAGTCATGGATTTCGATCTGGTCATCAAAAATGGTACGGTGGTAACTGCGTCAGATATCTGGAATAGTTGTGACATCGGCATCAAAGTAAGTATAACAACGCCTTCTTTTATCATCTTACACAAACAAAAAGTCTAACATAATGCGACATCCAGCACGGCAGCATTATCGCTGTTGGAACAAATTTGCCATGCAAGGATAGCGGCATCGAGACAATTGACGCACAAGGCGCCTATGTCACGCCCGGAGGCATTGATACTCATGTTCATCTCAGCCAGCTATACGAGGCATCCGCCGATTCTCTCATGAAGACGCAAATTACTGATGGCAAGATTCCGGATCTCGCAAATTATATGCACGATACATATGACACTGGCACGCGAAGCGCAGTTGCTGGTGGCACTACAACCGTTGTGACATTTGCCAGTCAACTACGCGACGATGACAGCCTGGTTCCTGTCGTAGAGGAGTACCACAAACTGGCCGATGGACAGTCCTACTGCGACTATGCCTTCCATATTATTCTTTCCAATCCAACCAAAAAAATCCTGGAGGAAGAACTCCCCATGATGGTAGAAAAACACGGCATTACAAGTGTCAAGATTTACATGACATACAAAGCATTTCAGTTGAAGGACTACGAGATCCTCGATGTACTGCATGCCACGAGGAAATTAGGCGTCACGACAATGATTCATGCCGAAAATGCAGATGTCATTGACTGGATGACTGAGCACTTGGAGGAGCAAGGGATGACGGCACCACATCACCATGGAACCTCGAGACCGCCCATCGTGGAAGCCGAAGCCACTGTAGGTTTTCCTATATTATTTATTAATTTGCCATATTTTCTATCGACGTATTCGTGTCCGCTAATAGCCATGCAGAACAGGGCCATTTCTTTTGCGGAGCTCATGGATGCACCTGTTCTCCTGGTCCATATTTCAGGTGGACACGCTACACGAATAATCAGGGAGGCGCAAACACGTCTCCTCCCGGTTTATGGAGAAACCTGCCCTCAGTATCTTTTTTTGCTGGCAGACAGCATGAAGAAAGAAGGCTTTGAAGGTATGAATGAAATTCGAAAGGAGAACAAGAACCATTACATATCTTCGGCTGCTAAGAACTTATATAAGGTGCTAAATGCGTCTGCTCGCCCCCGATTCGTGAAGAAGCTGCAGACCAAGAGGCAATCTGGACTGGTATCCAAAATGGCACGTTCACGACGCTGTCATCCGATCATGCCCCCATCAAATATGGTTTTGCAGGAGGAAAGCTGCGAGGTCTTGCTCACGGAGGCGGTCCAGAAGGAAAATTCCAATATATCCCTAATGGCCTTCCTGGTGTTGAAACCCGCGTCCCGCTGTTGTTCTCCGGTGGAGTTCTCGAGGGCCGCATCTCCCCACAGAAATTTGTTGAAGTAACTTCAACGAACCCAGCTAAACTCTATGGATTGGCAAAGAAAGGCACGATTGCACCTGGGTTTGACGCCGACTTGACCATTTGGTATCCGCAGGAAACGTTTAAGCCGTTTAAACTAACGAACGAGATGATGCACCATTCGATCGACTATACACCGTTTGAGGGAGTTGAATTCAAGAATTGGCCACGCTACACGTTGGTCAGAGGCAAGGTCGTCTTCAGTCATGGCGAGGTCGTCGGTGAGCTCGGATATGGAAAGTACCAAAAACGCACAAAGAGCACGCTGGCTGGACCTCGGGATAAATGGCTAAGTGAGTGGAGGCCTGCTTACTTGCGAAAATCGGTGAACGGAGATGCATAGTCCCTTGTATATAGCAGTGAGGTATTCAATCATGATAAAAGACAATAGACAAAGCTTAAAATGCCTTCTTCTACTGAATTGATTGGCTGGTGTTTGACTGGTGCTAATAATGCAGGGTCTAAAGAGAGGCTAACTCAACAGTTAAGAATTCCTCTGGCTTAGTTGTATGAAGTGAGTGACGAAGCAAGAAATGCCAACCAAGAAATGAAGGTGCTGTTACTAGAGCTCTAAACTGAATTTATAGGCAAATGATCTGGGCAGTGAAGTTATCTATCGCGTGTGCTATGAAAAGGCTCTGAGGAGCGGTCAGTGGTTTATAGGCCAGATAAACGACTCATTGATCCATGTGGTGTCCCTGCAGCAGCAAATTGGTATCTTCTACATACGCTACGCCCCCACTTTTTCCGGATTCACGAAAGCACTCAGTCTGGTTGATGTCTTGTTTATACAAGAGAAATAGTATCACTGCTACGTGTTACTGCTACTGCGATTTAGCCCGCCACATAGCTGAACCCGCCAATTATCTGATACCACATAAGAGGGAGTGGTCGGCATGCGGCTCGATTCCCTGTTGCGACGCCTTGGCGGGCAGAGATGCCTCGCCCTTGCATAGTGCTATATATAATAAGACTAGGCAAATTAGAAAATCATTTTGGTCTCATGTGTCCCCTTTGTGTTCCCTTTTAACATCCTGGAATAATTTATTTAGGCTCTATTTAGTTACGAAAGTTTCCATAACTAGGGATATTAAGTGAGAGCTTATGAGCAAGCTTAAATGAATGCATTCATAGGCTATCAATAAGGATCCTAGCAGGAAGAGGGAAGGTAAGAGGAAGATATGGGTTGCTGGAGGTGTTCTTATAAAGCAGGATACAGGATGTGGCAAACGAACCAAATAGCGCCATAATGCAAACAAGCTACAATGCAAACGGCACTGAGCCCACCGGGCATGACCTGTGATAGGTAATGATAAAATGGAACGGCGAGGCCCTGACCCAGGCCTATTTTCCGTTACTGCTCTGCTGAGGGTTAAAGCGTTACAAAATATGAAGACCTGAGGGGTTATGACTTATAGACAGACCACGGAGGACTAACTAACCCCTTAGATGACAGGTTCTTATCTCCCCCGATAAATGCCCCACACATAGTTGGGTAGTTAGTTAACTAACTAGTGTAGTGGGGGAACCGATGATGGGTGAATGGCTGCCTGACAGGCTAGGCGACGATTTCCTTGTTGACTTGGTTGTATTGACTTCTTCTGATTTGGCTTGCTTTCTGGCTTCTCTTCTATTTTGCTTGTTTGATTCTTTTGCACTGTTTGGCTGGTTTGATTTGTTGATGCGGAGGATTGCGGCGAAAGCCCTCATACGGGAGGGAGGACATTCTTCTGGGGGATTAGAGACGTAGGAGACACCTTTCGGATTTTTGATTTGCACATATCCTTTACGCACTGAGAAGAATCAATTTTATTCGGTATTTGCTCTGCTTCTACAAGGCTTTTTCTTTGCATCCTGATTGGTTAATACAGAATTCCTCCCCACCAGGAAAGCCTGATCACCCATTGACATTGCTATCTGGCCCATTTCTTTTGGCTATGTTGGTGGTGTTTCTCAGCGCTCTTCCTCTCTACTGATAGCCTATCTCTTTCGTGTTTCGACCTGTCCGTTCCGCCCAGACTGCCATTGCGCATCTCCTCGTTTACTAGTTAACGTAGGTTACTGTTAGATAGATTAATCAGCGAGCCGCCAACATAACTTAGGTATTTTTGGGAAGAGAAGATAAATCAAAAATATCCCAAATTTTGTTAATGCACACTAAGAGTTCTAGGTATCTTATCTCACAAATTCCTTTAAAAAATACTTACGTTGGCAGCTCGCTGATATTAGCGGCTCGTTGATTAAGTACGCTATCACCTATCAACTGTACTTTTAATCCGCCGAAATCTCCGATCTTATGTGGGGCTTTTTCGTACTAATCTTGCAGTAACGTACTTTATCAGCAAGCCGCGAAAATCAGTGATTTTGGGTAGAGGAGACATATCAAAAATATCTGAAATTTGTTAGGGCACATAACAATTCTAGGTACCTTACCTCGCAAAATCCCGTCAAAAACATACTTATGTTGGCTGCTGGCTGATATGAGCTCGTCGATAAAGTACGTTATCACCTATCATATGTACTTTTAATTCGCCGAAATCTCCTTCCGATCTTATGTAGGGGCTTTTCCGTGCAATCTTACATTAACGAACTTTATCAGCGAACCGATCACACGAGTATTTTCTCGCAGGAAAGACAGATAAAACGTACAAACAGTACACTAACCATTTTCAGGTACCCCGCCCTTGTATATTCCCCCACCCCCGTATATTCCTTGCTAAAACTAATGGTGTAATCGACTCACTGATATGATCGGCTCTGCGATAAAGCATGTTGTAGTATGGACACTCTCTTCTTGATAACATCACATCTTCGTCAAGCCCTACTTATTCCATCTTCATGGTCTTCTCAAAATATCCCCTGCATCAACAGGCCTTTTCTTCTTTTTTTTACCATCACCTTAGATTTAATCGGGCCTGTATAGTTTCTTCTGCATAACAACAACCTGTTAGAAGCATGGCACTGAAATCCTGGCTTCCTATCCCTGATGATCATGAGTTCAGTATTGAGAATCTCCCATTTGGGATTTTCTCAACAAGACTGAATGTAGGATATCTGTTCCATTCCCGTTCAATCGCTGTTTTACCTAACATGAGGTATAACAGCCTATGCCTCGCCCTGGAATAGCTCTGGGAGACTACATTGTTGATCTCTCTGCACTGGCTAGCAACGCTGTATTCCAATCACTTTGTCCTGCTCAATTCCCATTCTCGACACTGCAGCAGTCGACAATGAATGATTTTGCGGCACTGGGGCGGAAAACTGTGAATGCGATTCGCCTCTTGGTAAAGGACCTGTTCTTGGAGACAACGTCGATGCTGCGTGACGATCAAAAATTGAGAGCTGCTGTTGTGGTCAATACGCGAGAGGAAGGGGTCGAGGCTCAGATGCATTTGCCATTCGACACGCGGGACTTTACGGATTTTTTGAATTCAAGAGTGGTGAGTAACTTCTTGGTTGATCGGCCCATTGGTTAATTGATCAACATGCATAAATATACCGGTTGACTCGAATGAGTGACGGTCTATGAGTGAGATGCGAAAGCGCATGAGTGACTAAAGCTACAAATATAGCACGCGAAAAACACACATTCTACATCGACAACGCCAATCAACATGTACGTATTCATTTATGCCGTATCTCGGAACAGTTAAACTAACACAAAAGCAATCTACGTCGGATTAGGTTCAACCCTCCTCGAGCTTTCTGTGGTCGAGTATCTAGTCTTATCGTCTCCGGTACGCCCATCGTACGACCAATGGGGCATCTGGTAAAGAATAATGGAGAAGCATACGCTGCAGCATCGCAAGAAATGGACGTGGAGATCGAGTTCGGCTTTTTCATCGGTGTCGGTAGCCAGAGATTCGAACGAATCAGCATTCAGGACGCTGAAGAGCATATTTTTGGGGTTGTAATGCTGAATGATTGGAGCAGTATGGGCAACCTTTTTCCTTTTTGTGTTCTCCCCTTTCCTATCAAATATCCACCCTGGCATTGTTGGCAACTTGCCCTGTGGTATTGTAATTTCGGAGATTGGTAACTGACATGAAAACTCCCTGATGTTAGCTCGCGATATCCAAAAGTTCGAGGACCATCCATTTGCAGCGTTTAACGCCAAGTCATTCGCAACCACGATCAGCCCATGGGTAGTGACTCTGGACGCCCTGGCACCATTCAAAATAAAGCCTCAGGCACAGGACCCCCTTGACATCCCACCATACTTGACCGATACTGAGCCAAACGGTACATATGATATCTCGATCAACATGTCTTGGACGCTTGACAAAGAAAAGGAGACCTTCAACGCCTCTACGAGCAATTTGCAGAACGCGTATTGGAGTTTCAAACAGATGCTGACCCATCATGCGTTTGGCGGATGCCAGATGCGCACGGGTGATCTGATCGGCACTGGAACGATCACGGGAGAGGAGGAAGATTCGATTTGCTCGTTGGTAGAGAAGACCAGAGATGGAAAGATGGCGGTTGAGACCCCTGCTGGCAATAGGAGAACGTACGTCGCCGATGGTGACGAGGTTGTCTTCACCGCATGGGGTGGAAACCAGGGCCCCGAGATGGCCGGGAAGAGAGTCGGATTCGGCCAATGCAGTGCTGTTATCTTGCCAGCAACACCTTTATAATTGTTATTGCGAATAATTACTCGAGATTCTTAGTTCTGATGAATAGAAACTGACCTAAAATCCCCATCAACTTGATATAGTACATCTCCCTTAATTCTCGTCCAACTTCTTTCATTTTTACAATATCATTCTTCATTTTATGTGATCCGGTATGCTGACTATGACATAGACCAGGCCATTTATAGAGACTATTTGCAAAAAGCCTTCGTTCGAATGGGGAAAATGGGGAATACTAAAAGGGACTGTCCAGAGCTGACTTCACAGCTATGAGCTTAGAAACGAGGCGCTTTCGATTTAGCATAGTGTGGTTATCAAATCAATCAATTCAACATCACCCTCGTCATTGCTTGATTTGACTTTATTCAATAGTAAGCCCTCTGTTGATTGATCTATTGCTTCCTCTATTATCCATGTCCTCGGTCACACCGCTTTCGTTGTGCGCGTTAGTAAGGCTATATTTATGGTAGAATGATGGACCGCTTGGCTCCACTCTCAGCTTTACAAAGCGATTCAATAGGACTGTCACAATTCCAGGCGGGGCAGTTTCTGTCCGTCTAATGAGCCACAATTCCCCGTTATCTAGCCAATCCTATATCATATAGATTACTCGGCACGCACGCGACTCTTGTCTTTCTAATACGCATAGCGTCGCCCCTAAACCAGCGCGACTGCTTCACGCAGGCCTTAACTCCTGGCAGACCTGTCTAGCTAATTATTCATTCTGTTGAGTACTATTTCGGGGCTGCTTAATTTTACTGAAATTTGTGTTAGATTTGCGGTAAGACCGGTGCTGCCGTAAAGAGACGGCATCAGCGGCGAATAGGAAATATGGGTTGGTAAGGTACCAATCCCATGTCACTGGAATAAACCTCCCCACTTCTCCACGACACATGGCTAAGTAGTGATTGTCCAGTTGAATCACCTCCAATAATCAAATTTGGCTATGAGGCTTCTGAAATGATGTCGGATATATTACACAAAGCTGCAAAGCAAGAGCAACAATTTCATAGATCCTTCACTTGGTGAACTAAGTTAAGTAGCAAAGCTGTGTTACTCTTAAAAATCAGGCATAAATCATTCACTAACGAACCATGAGGTCATGATTTGCGCTAAGGACGTGGCAACAAATGACCCGAAAAAATATTGGTCGCCTAAGGCCTCCTTCTGAGGTAATCAAATCCCGTATGTGCGGTCACCCCGCAATTGCCTCTCCGTCCCTTCTCCTCGATACTACCATACCACCGTGTGCCATTTCGATAAAACCTCTACCAGGAATGGCCAAAGCTCTTCTTCTCGACCAACTTTTCTCTGTCGCATTGATTGATAAATTGACAAATCAATCAGTTACAACGCAACTCACGTGGTTCGCCATGCCAGATGCGCCAGAAGGAGTTCGCAAGAACCGAAGCTGTGAGTTCTGTCGCATGAGAAAGGTTCGGTGTGACGGACAGAAGCCCTCCTGCAGGACATGCATTAACCACCAGCGTGAATGCTTCTATAAACCGTCCTCCCTTAAACCGAGGTATGAGTATTTCCTGCTACCAAGAAATGATGATTCCCAGGCGGCTACATATTGTGGGTGCGTTATAATGATCGTCTTGTATTGATCATATTGGCCAGACCAACTCAAGCGGTGATCGACGAACTTCGGGCAGAGAACAAAGAACTATTGACTGCCATACAACGTTTGAAGGATGGCGCTGGACCCGAACGAGTGAGGCCAACCCTCCAGTCAATCAGGGACAAGGACCAAGGCGCACGACAAGCTGTTTCCCTCCTCAGCCCACTCTCCTCTTCCAACATATCATTACACAATCCAGATAAGACTCAGGATGGGGCAGGTGAATCCCAACATGTCCATGCCGCTCCGGACCGGGCAAGCGTTAATACCTCACCATATTTATCGGTAGATGAATGTGGCAACTTCAATAACTTTGGCCCGTCCTCTGCATGGCAAATGGTCATCGAAACCCCCAGGGGTGTTGGTACAGCAACCGCCCCCAACATCCAGAACACCCTCGTTGCCAATGCCGCGCTATCGCGTCAGCTAGAGCATCAATTAGCCACCTTCGACGAGCTCGACGGGGTACCGATTGACTTGGCAATACATCTTCTCGATCTCCACTGGAACCGCCAACATCACACCTTCCTCTTGACCTACCGACCAGCTATTATACGAGACTTGTTGGAGCAAGGTGAATTCGGTTCCAGGTTCTTGCTGAACGCCATCTTTGCCTGTGTCAGTAAATTTTCAACACGAACCGAGGTTTGTGAGCTGGCAGCTGGCTCCCATTTCTTTCGTCGGTGCGATGAGTTGATAAATCAAGAAAACCTCCTCTTCAACCCGAGTCTGCCGACAGTAGTTGGCCTCTTACTTTTAGGATCCAGCTACGTTGCCCGAGGTTTGACAACAAAGGGCTGGTTATTGACCGGGTATGCGTTAAGAATGATTTTCGATCTCGGTCTTCATATTGACCAAGAGCCCACCGCCGACGATGCCATACAAATCGAAATCCGGAGGCGGATTTTCTGGGGTGCCTTTATCTGCGATAAACTCCAAAGCCTGTACCTAGGAAGGCCGTTTGCGATAAAACTACGTGACGCCCACGTTTCGCTAGAGCTCAACGACATCATGGAGGAAAAGGAAGCGTGGACTGCATATGTTGATACCACGATTCCTTCAGCGACGAACGCTATTACCCATGGCCCACATGTTTCAACCTGTTCAGTATCATGCTTCCAATACTTTTGTCTCCTTTCCAAAATCATGACCCGCATCATCGATGAATTTTATGTGGTGGGGGCCACGGTGACTGGTGCTCAATCCAGTCTCCGTAGCATCGATGATTTGCTTCAAAAGTGGGAGAAGAATCTTCCAGATGGGCTGCGTCTGGATCCTACCGCTCACAACTCTTCGAATGTGGTTCACGCCCCCAATGTTATGTGTCTTCATGTCATTTACAGCACATTGGTTGTCCTACTTCACCGTCCCTTGGTTGCCGATGGCCATCTGCGATCAGCCTCGCCACCCGCCGCATCTTGGAAACGCTGCTCAGACGCGGCTGAAAGAATTACCCGTGTTGTTTCATCATACCGTCAACTTTATGGCCTTAGGGCTGCCCCATACTTGATCAGCTATGGACTATACGTGGCGTGCACCATACATGTTCGGAATACGGGAGCGAATACTAATGAAATGGGCGTTGACCACCGGTTACTGCTGGCATGTAGCCTTCATTGGCTCGAAGAGCTGGCTGTTCCTAATCCAGCTGTGCTGCGGACCGTGGCAATCATCCACAAACTGATAAACACCCGAGGGGTCGACTTGAGCATGTATCCCGAACCAGCAATCGTCGGAATCACCCAAACGTCGGCAAATACCATGCAAGGCCAAAATAGTGAAGGGGCTATACCCTCCATAGCCGCAACAATCACGGACACTCGGGACTATCCCAATTTTTTCCAGAGCGAATGGAATGAATCATTTTCTGATGACATTTTGTACGGCGTTATGGACCAGCAATTTTCATCATTTGGTGAATTTATGCCGGAAGTGGATCTCCTCCATTGAACTAGAGGAGACAAGGCGTGCTAGTGTATCAAAACCTTTAGTCATTTTTTGACCTGATCAAGGCCTTCATGTCTCTTTGCAAGAGTTATACGTTATACGTGACAAGGGATTCTGGCAATGATACAATGAGTTACTTCATCAATACATGCCCTCCGTGTGCCTCCATCGCCTTCGAGGTGTTGGTGAACCACAAATAACGTCCGCTTTCACGCAACCGCTTGATTAGGAAATAGTCGTCCTCCTACATCTGTTTTTTATGCCAAATCCTCCAACGACATTGAATCCCGCATCACCAAAGTCTGCAGGTGCCTGGTAGGAGAAAAACCAATGCTTCGGCCTAAGCGCGAGAAATTAACATTTCTCACGACGGTTGAATCGCCTTGTCGTCTATGATTATCAGGCCTTGCATCGCTCATATCTCTTCCTAGCAAGTTATATGGGTTCTGTCTTCTCGGCCCTGAAGCAGGAACCTGTTCTAGGAAGGATAGATCAATGAGATTAATTAAGAATATTGATCAGCGCTAGAGTCTGTAATTTGCCCAAAATGCTTCGCAGTTTCTTCTGTCCAGGATCCCTTCATATTTGAAATCTGAGTCCTATTACCATACGGACACGACCTAATGTTAAGATCATCTACTTTGGCAATCAGTCGTGCCTTTCTCCTTGTCCCGAAAAGGTAATAAGTAATAGAAGTGAGATCTGAGTTTATTGAAGAATACATCTAAGCAACATGACTAGGGGTATGAATAGCTTAGGAAAGAAAGATAACAGTAAGACATGGCCGAAATAGTGTACACAAAATGTGACAGGAACAGATATTTGCAAGCAAGGGTTTTGAAGCAGAACGTATCCAACGCTAGGATACTAGAGTAATGATGGGATTCTTTTTGCTCACAGCCGAGCAACCGCCAATGATGAAGCAGCCTTCGCAGCGGCTGCCTTGCCTGCTCTGCGGCCAAAGACTGCTCCAGAGGTAAGACCACTGCCTCCAGGATAGTTATCATAGAATATGCCACCTAGCATTTCACCCACACAGTACAGATTAGGGACAGTCTTGTTTGTTGTTGAGACCACTGCTGCAGTCTCTGGGTCAACAGCCAAGCCACCAAAGGTGAATGTCACGCCACAGGTGACTCTGACGGCGAGGAAAGGCCCCTTGCTGATGGTCGTTGCCCAGTTAGACTTCGCAAGAGGGAGACGCGAAGTTCGAGATTGCGTGGATAATCCGTCCTTGACAGCAGGGTTCCAAGTAACCCCAGGGTTCTCCTTTCGGTGCTGTTCCACTGCATCGTTGAATTCTTCAATTGTGTTCAGCAACCTGTCACGGCTGGCAAGGCCTCGTTCGGCACACTTATCTGCCAGCTCAGAGAGTGTCGAGGCGGTGATTTTCTCCACAATTCCGTCCCGGTACTCTTCGGCACGCAACCAGGGAATAGTCTGAGAGTCCCAGATCTGGAAAGCGAAACTGCCAGGTTGAGCAAGAATGGCTTTGCCGAAGATCGCATATGTATAGTTTCGCATGTCAACTCCCTCATCAACAAATCGCTCGCCGTTTCGGTTCACCATAATACCCATAGGGTATCCTGATTTGGTGAATTCGTTGGAAATAGCTCGATCGCCTTCATGAGCAGGAGCATTAGCATCCCAGGCTACAGAATGGCAACCTGACCAATTGCCCGCTTGCTTCGCCGAGACATCACGCATGGCAAGTTCCAAACATCCACCCTGGTTGTATGGCGTTCCTCGCACCTTAGCAACATCCCAGTTCGGACCGAGGTACTGGGCGCGCATTCTCGGGTTGGCCTCGAAGCCACCTGCCGCAAGAATTACTGCACCGGTCTTAAAGCGCTCTTTCTCGCCGTTTGGCAAAATGATCTCGACACCGCGCACAGCGTTGGTGACGGGGTCGGCGTCGAGGGCACTCGCAGTATGAGAGAAGTAGACCTCAATGCCCAACCGTTGAGCGGCTTTGCGGTGATCTTCAATGAGGCCCTTGCCGCCGTTGTCGGTCTTCAAAGCCAGTCCTCCCCAAAACTGAATCCGTCCATTCACCTCATACGCCTGTCTGTTGAACGAGAGCTGAAATCGTATACCGTGTCGAGCAAGCCACTTGATTGCTGCATTTGACTCCCGAACCAAGGTTTGCGACAACTTAGGATCAGTCCGGCCGGAGGTAACACGTTGGATGTCATTCATGAAATGAGTAGCAGTGTACGGGGCCATATCAATCTTTTTGGCGGTTGCTTGGTCAACATTGTTGACGATAGGAAGGAGGTCGGTCAATCCATCGTGGGCTATACGGAATGCACCAGCGGTGAAATAGCTGTTTCCGCCCACCCAGTCCTCTGGACAGCTGTCAATGATCACCACGCGCTTAGCACCCGACTCGGCGGCAGAGATTGCAGCGCAGAATCCGGCATTTCCGCCGCCGACGACGAGAACATCGACGTAACCGCGTAGTCTGGGGGTCATCGGGGTCGAAGAAGTGGAAAGACTTCAGGTAATGGTTGAGCAAAATGATTAGAAGATGGGAACACCCAAGATGATAGTGGTGATCTATGTTAAAAGGTAACAAAAAAGAGCTCGGTGAAGGGTCTTTATGAAAAGTATGTAGCTCATGCATACGTCGGTGATCGGCAACGAGTACACTGCCAAGCGGGATGTGGCGTCCATTTTTTCCGAGGCAAATCCACCCAGCATGGGCAGGGATTGAACAATTTCGAGTCACCTGACGATATCTCCCGCCAGCCTTGTGTGATCGTACTTACAGGGCCGGATATTCATTCTCCGTCAGCCAAGGAAGAGAATTTTCAATCACGGACGGCCATCGTCCGAAAGTGGATCCGGACTTGGTTTTTTTTGGGTTTGGGGGGGGAAGCGGAAGGACAACCCCCGTCAAAGCCCCGATTGTCGCGGAACGACAGCACCCGAGTCCGGCCGATAACGGAGTGATCGACTCATGCAACTTAGCCACGTGGAACAGACATTGGAGACTGTTCGTCCGGGGTTCTCCATACTAAATATCGGAACCGATGGTCGGATCCGATGGCATTAGAAATAGAGTTCAAGGGGAAAAGCTTGTCCAGCAACCCGCTCGACTCCTGGCTCGTCTTTCGGCATTCGAGTGGGGCGATGTCAGCATTGGAGTGGGGCGATGTCAGCATTCGAGTGGGGCGATGGGGCTGAGATCACGAGACATGCATATGCATATCCCCAGATGGGAAACTCCCCAGATGGGAAACTCGCCAGATGGGAGACTCCCCAGATGGGAGACTCCCCGGATGGGAGACTCCCCGGATGGAGATTCCCCGGATGGAGACTCTGGCTCCTTATAAGCCCCCCACACACTCGAATAGCTCAACTGTGTTTGTTGTCTCTCTTGTCATTTCTCTTGTCGTCCGTCTCATCCTCCCTCTTGTCGTCATAGCATTATCTACAGAGCTCAGAGACGGCATAATGGCGCCGTTCTGGGGACTTCGAGGCTCCAAGTTGCACACGGCCATTTGGGCTGAGGCCTGCTTTGGTGTAATGATCTTCGGTTACAATCAAGCGTCTACTGGTGGTGTACTCGCCGACCTTTCCTTTAATAAACAATTTCCCCGAATGGATACCCTGACGACAACGGGCTCCTTGAAGGCATACAATGCAACGATCGAGGGTAAGCTATCCAGCAAGCGCGTGAGATACAAGAACTGATTTTGCATAGGCACCGTGGTCGCCATGTATACGCTCTTCGGTGTGTTTGGAGCTTTAGGCTGCACTTTTCTCGGCGACGCTTTGGGTCGTCGGAAGACTATCTTCATCGCTAGTATTGTTCAAGCCATTGGGGCTGTCTTACAGGCGTCCTCTTTTGCGTTTGAGCAGTTCATTATTGGCCGAATTGTCTTGGGACTCGGAACTGGCGGACTGATTGCCACCATCTCTGTCTGGCAGTCAGAAGTCTCAAAGGCTGAAAATCGGGGTGAGCATGTGTCTGCCTTCGGTATCTTCTGTGGATCCGGTATAGCACTGGCTTTGTGGGTTGCTTTTGGGATGAGCTACACGCAGCCAAGCTCAGTCTCGTGGCGTTTCACATTGATTTTTACTGTGTTCCTGGCAATTTTGGTTTGCTCCGGCATCTACCAGCTACCGGAGAGTCCTCGTTGGTTGAGCAAAAAGGTCGCTGGGAAGAAGCGCGAGAGATTCTCGGCCTGTTGTACGATGAGGATCCGCACGGGGAGACCGTGAACCAAGAGATCCAGGACATTCAACTCTCCATCGAGCGCTCTAGCAAAGGCAGCATCGGCGCCATGTTTAAAATGGGGCCACAACGAACATTCCATCGCGTGGTTCTTGCCGCACTTGCCCAAGTTTTCCTTCAAATGTCCGGCATTAATTCTATTACATACTATGCCCCATCGATTTATCAGAACGAGCTGGGCTTCAGCCCCACACAAGCCAGTATCCTGGCGGCTGCATCCCAGTTTTGCCTGATTCTGGGCGCATTCTGTTGTGCTTATACAGTGGACAGATTTGGCCGACGCAGGCTGATGCTGTATAGTGCAACTGGGATGAGTATTTGCTTCGCCTGCATGGCCGGCCTCACCTCGAACCCGGACAACAAGATTGCTCTCAAAGCTGCCGTTTTCTTCTCATTCCTTTACCTTTTTGTCTACGTCCTGGGATTCCTCGGCATTCCCTTCCTATACGCCAGCGAGATTGCGCCTACTCATCTGCGAGCTGCTGTTTGTGGACTGTCTACTGCTGTTTCTTGGTTATTTAACTTCCTCGTCGCTGAAGTTACCCCAGTTGCCTTTAACGCTATCGGCTGGAGATACTTCCTTGTCTACTTCTGCCTGAACGCCGCATTTGTGCCAACCATTTATTTCTTCTTCCCCGAAACCTCGCAACGATCACTGGAAGAGATTGATCAAATTTTTGAATCTTCGACGTCCATCTTCGATACAGTTTCCGTGGCACAGAAATTGCCCAAGCGCCATCTCGCCGAGTTTCTCCACGAAGAAAAGGGGGTCGAGGTTCCTGTTGCTCAAGCTTCTCATGTCGACGAGGTGGCGTAGCCTTTAGATCTGACGATCTACAAAGGAACGAAAGAAACCGAAAAAAGAAGTTGATTTCGAGAGGGAAGAAGAGAAGAATAGAAGGCTATCTGGATGATGATATATCACAAGGGTCGAGGGCGGTGAGCCCTAACGGTCTCCACATAGCCGATCTAAATAGAAAACCCTGGGAGTTTATTGAGTGATATGGGTTTTGCAGGATGGTTTTTAAATAGAATTGTTTTTCCTTTGCGAAATGGTTGTTCGGATCAGCGTCGTCTAGTAATTTGCATATGTTCTTTCCTGGATTTTCTTGTTAGTAGCTTTCGTGGTGATCGCGATTTAGTGCGGCTCTCGGTTGCATCAGGTGCCTGGCTTACCGGAGTTAGTGCACATGTGGCGTGTGCAAGAACTTCTCATAAAGCTTACATACTTTTAGGCTTAAGGAACAACAAATTCAATTTTCGAATCACTTTAGGGACTATCTTCTTTCTACCCCAACCCGGGCCGACCTACCTTCCGCACAGTAAGCGTATGAATAACTACGAATCGTCTATCAGATACCTGTCTCCTTACCTCAGCCCCCCTTCTTTAACCAACTTAGCGGCAGAGGCTGCTTAATTAGCGCGGTTGGGACATGCTACGGGGTATCGGCGCGAGTATCGTCCTTAACTGCCTTGCTAAGGTCACCTACCTTTACCTTGATAGGGTTGAAACTAGCACTTATATACGCTGATTGTTACGGAGTCGCCCCGGCCACATGACAACAAACGTAGGCCAAAAAAGATCACTATATGCGGGCTCAGCGGATATGACCCAGGATCCCACATATATAGTATCGCTCTCTTGGCTGGCTGCGCCATGACACTCATTTTAGGTGCTCACACAGGCTAATGGTCTTCTAGAAGGGCACCTATAAAATAACTAGTCAGATTATCTACAGGTTTTCTATGAGATAGCTGTCTCACTTAACTGACCGTGCGATAGTCGCAGTCAGGAACTAATAGCATATATGTGAGCCATTGGCTAGTATGTATGCGTGTGGATCTCCTGGCTATACAAGAAGCGTGGTTGCCTAGAAGAGGGGTAATGTGATCTTCAACAATCGCATTGAATATGCTGTTTTCTACTATGTTATATAAAGTTGTTGTGTTTCCTAGTTAGAACGACCAGATTGCAAGATTGTTAGATTGTCAAGTCTTCTTTCTTCCTTCTCACCGAATTGATTTGTTATACCGAGCAGACCTGCCTGCTGTTTAGCGCCCGTCCTTGAATGGTTGAATCGAGTAGACTTGCCTGCTGTTCAATATTCTACCCCGCACGATCAAGAGTAGTTAGCTCTACTGCTTGGTCACTATCCCGACCGGAGTAGTGTGTCCTTGTTCCACTATTCCACCACCGAAATTTCAACAGGAACGAACCCGACAATACACCTTCCTAACATAGACGATCATATCGTTTGGATTCTCGTTCTAGCCTAATTAGTGTCTGCCAGATATCTCTGAAATATCTGATAACTTACCCTCTGGTATTCAGGGAGGGTCAGAACACCAGTCGGGATATTATCCAGGTAGAAGTTGCTACAATTCACCAAGAATTTAGGCTTCTTAATGTCGAATTTGTAACTAAAATATTTTCGATAACTGTCAGATATCTAGTGACTCCTTACCCCGCTCTAGATCTCTCACTCACCAAAAGTCAACGCTAGCAAATGCGGAGAACGTGGATACCTAACTGCCTAATCTAGGTGTTTATTAGATATCTAAGAGATTTGTGCTTCGGGGGGATTGCACGAACCTTGGTTAGATAGCAGGTGTGGATCTAGCAAACCTGAGCAAACAGGTCACCGAGACACCGATCTGGGGTGTGAGGAAGAGGTAACTTTAAAGTGGGGCGGAAGCCAAGGTTTGAAAGTGGGTCCACTAAGGGGCTATACTCTTACCAGATTTGATTTAGTTCCAATTGTGGGGACGCCCTTTGTTGGCCTTAGGAACCGGGCTGCTCAGCAGGAAGGAAGCTCCCGCCCATTTTGGCCGATTCTATGTTGAAATCGGGCCCGTTGGGTCGATTCTTCAACGTGGATCCGATTGGAACCGGTATGGGGATTCCCGAGGAGCACGATTGATCTCTCAGCCTGGGACAGTCGGAGAGGGAACCCGAGGACGCTCACCACCAGAGAGAGGGCGCCAGCTCCAGCCTTCCTCCTTGACCTCCCCAATACGCATGAAAGCGACCATAGCCGACGCAGGGTTTGTATGGTTTTTGCGGGTGTTAGAATATTACGGGGCATCTCGAGGATACGAGACCGGGTGACTCAGAGACTGTGGGAGAGGGCATTGATGCAGCGCAGCACAGGCACCCTGGTGATGCTCGGTCTCGGTAAGTCGAGGATGCCGATAGTGGGGGAGTGGGTGCGGGGAAATTGAGAGCAGTCGCAGGCAGGAAGGAAGGAGGTTTAGTGGGGGGGGTTGACCGACAGCGAGAATTTTATTAATGGTCCTCATCATAGTAGCGATAACTGTCAATGTAGACTTTGTCGGTATGATCCTGTCATGATACCCCTAAGACCGCCATGGACAAAGCTAAGCCATATTTGGCGATTTCGGTTTACTCTGGCAGAGAATTCGAAGCGGAGTTATCAACTGTCTCCAAAGCCATTGATTGCCTAGGCATGAAAGTTATCCTTTCTCAATCCCACAAGTCCCTTGGTTCTCATGATGTAAACAGAGACAACCGAATAATGTGTTCGCGGCGCATTGCGCGAAGATTTCCAGCCATCCCAAAGGAACGAGTCCAAAGGAATCTGAAGCTCCGACACGGACGTAACGGCAATAATTGAAAAGACGCCCACGGAAAGCATTGAGCCACAACGGCCTACAGACATGAACGAATGGAGAGTTGCCCAAGAACAAAGGTATAAGAGGATATAATAAAGGGCTAAAAGACGACGGGGCAAATTTAATAATTGGGCTCAATTAATCATTCAAGTCAGCATAGAGCTAGCTCAGACAGTCTGGCGGGAAGAGGTGGTCAAAGAAGAAATTGACCAAGCCACATCTGTCTTGGTCCAGGAGACAAAAAAAGGTCCAGGCAATGAACAACGAACTAGGAACATTGATGTGAAAGTGTTGGCGCCTTGAAATAAAGCTCTATATTATCCATGAAGACTGTCCTCTCGTAGATCTAAGGAACGGTCAGAAGGCGCTTCGCAGCCGGCATAGTTGGCACTTGATTAGTGACTGGCTTGCTAAAGACTGCGTTGGACGAGGTGGTTGCTGTGGTCGAAACTATGAGTGTTGCAGCAAAAAAGCGACAGCTCAAGATAAGCTGAAGGGTTAGGGGCATGGACGGCAGAGTGTGGCTGTTGCAATCGTGTTCGAGGATTTCAATTGGAAAAAGAAGACAAAAAAGTTGTTTCAACCTAACTTCGATACCGAAAAGTGGAAGACGAGCCCTTACAGTTTGAGCATGTTCACGGCCTACTTCTAGGGACATAAGGACTGAATTGAGGATCATAGTATCTCTGTTTTGCTCGCATCTAGAGATGGACCCAGTCAAGCTGAGTACTTGTCTACGATTTATTGCTCGAAAGTTTAGAGATTTTAAAAAAGATATACCCATGTTCCGTAAAACTTAGAGGCACGAAAGCTAAAGCATAAGGATATCAAAGATGAGTAGGCTAGAACCATACGTTGACTCCGTTATATGTTTATGCTATGAGCAAGAAAGCCAAAGCCCAAAAGGCCAGTCTATACATCTAATCATTAGTGTTTCTTCCACGCAGATTCTAAACACCGGGCATTTTCAGTCCTAAAAAAACCAAGATAGACCGCCATATATAGATACGAGAATTGTAAAATAAAGAGTAAAGCACCGAGATCCATGTTATCGTCACGTCCTCTATATGCGCTAGAACAATCGTCTCAGTAGAGGGTTCGGAGGGAGCGTCGGTTATCTCGTTGTCACCGTCTTTATCGTTGTTAGCAGCAGCGCTATTATAAATAATAGTTTCCGTAATAGCTTCGACGGGAGACACGCCGGGGTTATCTCGGTCTCTATCCTTAGGAGCTTCCTCCTATACGCGTATAGTCTTGTTAAGGCTAGAGCTCACGAGTATTTGCTTTATATTTAGCTTACCCGTATAAACGCTAATAACGACGTTAGTATAACCCTCGATACGCTAGACAATATTTTTGCTGATAATATCCTAGCAGAGAATTGCGCTATCTTCGCTGCCGCTAACGGCAAAAGCTAAGGGTGGGTTGTACTCAGCTTTACGTGAGCTATAGTTGTTACAAGCCAAGCGAGATGATGACGGAAGTCTCTATTCGGTGCTATCTGCGAAGAATCAAATGTAGGGAAAAGGAAAAGAAGAAGAAGAAGATGCGTAGTGGGGGGTCCTTTATACCCCCTCCTGCCTGAGGCATCCTTCCAGGAAACTTCCATTTTCGGACACGCATGAAACTCCAAGCAAACATCACGAAGCCAGTTGCCGCCTCATTCCTTAGGCATCCGATCGTCTACATCCGTCACAATAGTAGCTAAAACAGCCCGATAGACTATATATGTTTTGTTAACGTAGCCCTAGAATATCTTAATGATACGGCTCTTAACGTAGTTCTATATACGTATACAGCTATCCAGAGTCGAAGCCAGAATGTATTTCCTGTTTAGCGAGAACTTAACGTAGGTAGTATGTGGAATACTTTCGTGCACAAGGGTCCTTAAGCACTGGCTACTATAGGTATCCTAAACGCGGATAAGTCTATCTAGAGTATAGGACACAATTAGTATGCCGTCGTGCACGACGTCGATACCGGCGATAGGGTTAGAGTGTACGGGGAGGGAGCGTATAACGTAATTCACGGCCGACCGGGCCACCCCATCCAAAATCGCGTCTTCCTGCCTACACACCAACTTCAACCACCTACCATACTACTATTTCGATCTGAATCTTCGCAGAAATCGGCCAATCAAGAGGGCAAGATTTTATCAGCCCTTCATGATATTCAAAATTGCCGCATCAAATCTATCCGCGCAGCAGCTAACATATACGCAATACCGCGGTGCCGGACGATCAAAAAGAGCTACAACTTAGGGGGTTTCAACGAAGAGGATGCGGGTATACATTTGAAACGGGAGTCTCTATACCCACGTGCGCTCAATATCCGCTCCACGTCCGGATATAGCGCTATATCCGCATTCTATATCCGCCTGCAGTCACTGTAGGTTTATCTCATTCTCTAGATGGGCAGAGGTAAGAAATATTGCCCGTCAAAATATGTGATGATTTGATGAGCTCGGATTAAATAACAATTTTTATCTTCAGTATTGTGTAAGAAAGGAATTCAACAATCACAGACTTCGTCAACGGAAGAAAATATACAAAATGGAAATCTACTAATACATTTCCACCTGCCAATCAAACTGGGTTGCCCAGGAAGGTAGGTTTCTGGCTCACTTGATATTCAAGTCTATCCGTCCAAAAATGTGAGATAACAGCTTGTACAGCCGGAATGGGCCCGAAAACAGTTCCCGCCACAGGGAAGATGATGCGGTCAACAAGACTGCTAAGGCTGAACCTGTATCGGAACGAAAAACCCGCATCGACAATTCCTGCGTCCATCATATCCAGAGAACGGGTGTTCACGCAAAAATAGTGCCAGTGGTCATAGACAATGATGCAGATATTCATCATTATGAAAGAGGAGGCGCGTAAGATCCCCGCCCAATTTAACGCCAACAGAAGATCAGGGTGAATAAGCTCTGGTGGCGTCAATGCAGAATAAATAGAGGTGATCAGAAGGCAGATTGCCAAATGGCACGGCAAGAAGTGTGCCTCCCAAAGAAGGTGTACCAGTGCCAGATGCTTCCCGGTGAAAAGAAGCCGCCAGCTGGGACGCTTCAGGCTGCCAAAGCTTCTTTGAATGGCGTATCCAGTATCCAATGCGCCCCACATGTGACGCAACGCCTGGCGGTAGCGGGCAACAAGTGTGCCTATAGTCCGTGGTCGGCCAATGATGTCGTGACTGGAGACGTTGCACTGGCTTGCCGCACTATAAACCACGCGTGTGGTAATGTTGCCATTCATGGAAAAATAGCACTTGAGAAGCATGTGCATATCTTCACCAATGGCAGACGCATCACTGTCCCAGCCACCAACCCTTTTTGCTAGCGCTAAAGGCAAAGTATAGACGGAGGTTGGAATGCAAATCGGCGAGCTTGGGTACATGGCTGAGATCCCAGCAAACCCCCACATCAAGTCTGCACAACGCACCAAAGCTGGAGTTTGCAACGAATTGCGATCGAAGATAATCGGACACGAATAGAAGCTTCGCTCGGGACTAACTTCTTCGTCAAGGTGAAGGCGTCTAATCTCACTAAAATAATCCTGCAAAAGGTGGGTATCCGCTAAAGACAGAGTGTTAGTCTGTTTATATACTATGTTATCCAAGTTTCCTTTCAACATACCGTCAATTACCGTGATTAATGTGTCCATCACACCCGGGTCCCCGTCTCTTGCATGTACATTCATGATATGGCGAGCCGCATAAGCCACATTTGAGCTTTTGCCAGCGATCTCACCCACCACCCCGAACGGATGAAATGTCGCCTGAATACAAGAAAACACCATCTCGAATTGTGAGATCAATTCGGTCGCCTTATTTATTGCTCCGGTCTCTTTCTGCTCCATGGCCAGGTAGACCTAAGATATGGTAAGTATAGCTGCATCTGCCGGTTTCATCCGACCTCTTCAATGAAGACTGACCTCGTATTGGCTTGAAGCTCTTGGGTGACTGGCTAGTACATGCAGTGCTGTTCTTAAAGTTTCGAGGTCTTCCTTGTAATTTGGCAGAATAATTGCGTGAATCACTTCCTGCTCAGGGAGAAATGAGTGTGATTCCAGTTGATGCGAGCTTGCTTCGATGTCGTTGAGAAGAATCTCCTCTGCCCGATTGCTTTCTGCACCCTGCACAACGTCACTCAACGGTTTTGAACCAAGTGAAGGACGCCGCTCCAGTACTCGCTTGCATTCTTGCAGTATAACAAACAATGAAAAACAGAGTCGCAGGGCAAACCAGAACGCATTGAGGTGGATGAACAAGAATATACCAATATATAGCTTTTGATTTAGAGTCAGCCCGTCCAGCCTGTGAGCTGGAGGGTGTGCAAGAGACGAGGGACCAGTGATTGGAGCATGGCCTGGCAGAGGCTGACACAGAGCTGCATACGACAGCCATAACAGTGCGATGATGCTAAAGCCAGGGAGGCACCTACATGCCCATCTGAAAATTTTTGACATATTCGACAACACCCGGCGCGCTTACGGGAAATCAAGACGTGCACGTGAGACTTGGGAAGGCTCGAAGATCAGGAACTTGGGAATAGAGAGATAAAAAGGGGGAGGGCGGGAGCGGCGTCTTCAAAAGGCGCGATAGAGTTACGCGCAAGCATGAAGTCAGAGAAAATATCGCAAAGGGGAAGGTGGACCATGAAATTGAACGAAACTTTTTACTCCAATTTGCTCCAATTGACACTAGCCCGGACAAGACCCCTTGGGAGAAATCTCGCAGAGTTCAGTATGGTTTGCCGAGGGTAATTTCTGAGCTCAGTAGCTTACGACGTCGGATATCAATGGGCTTATTAGCAAACCAGGGAAAGGCAGACTCGTTTACCTAGGTATTGGAGCGCCACCACTCGGCAGGATAAGCGTGCGAACTTCTGCTCTTTCTCGTTCCGTACAATTAGTACATGCAGACCTGATCGATATAAATAGGAAGGTGGGTCACGTATAAATCTGAAAAAGCCAACAGGGTAAATGTGTGCCTTTCTGACCAGTGGTTGTCTCGGGAAATTTACTTCGTGCGCTAGGCAGAAGCTTAGTTTAAGCTTGGAAACAAACGGTCTTGAGGTGCGATCCGATTGGATGGAAATCCCCGGTTACTCGGCACTTTAATGACGAGCCTTATCCGACACCCGAGTTATTCCCGGCAAGTCCCTCGCGAGCTTACCAGAAAGCTTAACTCCTGGAGACAAAAGCTACTGGTCAACGGTGATTGATTCGAATGCGCGGCATGATTTCCAGGAGCCTGAGCGATGATGGCCATAACCTTGGTGCAAGCCCCTACTCTCTTGGTCCTAATTCGCTGCGTTTACGCCTTCTAATGGATCAATTAGTTGAAGGCACATGGCCAATCAAGAACACCAATCACAGCCGAGCGCGTTGTTGCCCTTAAAGATCCCTCCCTAGATAGATAAGTCCCACAAAATTCTCTATCTAGATCGTTAGAATTATAAAGCATCAGCAGGATTACAAATCATTAACCTGCGAAAGAGTTCTAAGTGATGATAAATCATAGTCAGGGACCCTAGCTCGATTGGGTATTGTCATCTTACCTAGATAGGACGTTGCGGCGGTTTCACGGCATCCTTTGCAGCTGAGGGACTTTGGTTTTGCCTGAATATATTTTGTCCAAACTGACGGTGTTGGTGTCGATATTTGTGCTTCTTTCCAGTCTTGGGTTTTTCATCCGGGTGGGTGTGCCTCATGGCCGGATGTTCCAGTCGCCCGAGGACTACGTCAACTCGAGCTTTCTAGGATTACAAAGCATCATTGGGAGATGCGAAGTAGAAATGGGGAGGTTTCATAATTGTCTCAGGCAAGAGGCTGTGCATTTTAACTTGGATAGAATGATTCACTGCCACGGAGGTCCTGTTAGAGAGTAGCTCTAATCGATTAGTTATGACCTTACGTACCCTGAATCCCCAGTCCGTGTAACCATTTCGGGCTAGGGTACGTGGCGGGCTTCTATTATCTGCATTATTATTGTTACGCATTCAGCAGAGATGTCATATGTCACGTCACCCGTCCCTCTAAACCTAAACAGGTAAATGCAGTTTGTATACTCAAAAGGGATACATTCAATCCGTATCGGTGCTAATGTCTCCATCGACTCCAAAGTCAATATTGTCTGATGCTCTAGTAGTCATGCCTATTTTAGACCGGAAAGAAATTCAGCTTCCATACAACACTCATCTCACAGCAACTGCAACGGAGGACCTGCTGACAATTCCCAGTCTGTGGTTGCTTTTAAGGGAGCCATCATCCATCTCCCTCCCAGCTAGGGTGTGATCCTTACTCAATATCATCTTCTAGTTTTACCCTTTCGAGCCAACGAAATGAGAAGCCCCCTACTTTTGCTGGGCGCTGCCAGCTATGCTGCTGCGCAGTGTCCCTTTTCAAGTATGTCCAGCGGTAGTATTCCCGTCGATTTGTCTATGTACAGGAACGACTCGGACGTTTACATGACCACCGACTGGGGTACTCCGATCCAAGACCAGCTGAGTTTGAAGTTCGGCACCCGGGGGCCAACTGCCTTGGAGGACTTCATGTTCCGTCAGAAGCTTCAGCGCTTCGATCATGAGCGTGTAAGTCGATTAATGTTTATCATTCGACGACAACAAGTTTAACTATTATCAGGTTCCCGAACGCGTTGTGCATGCCCGCGGAGTGGGAGCCTACGGAACCTTCACTTCTTACGCCGATTGGTCCAACATCACCGCGGCTGATTTCCTCAGCGCCGAAGGCAAGCAGACCGACACTTTTGTACGATTCTCCACAGTTCAAGGATTCCGCGGAAGTCCCGACACTGTCCGTGATATGCACGGATTCGCCACACGGTTCTACACTGATGAGGGCAACTACGGTAAGCCAGGCCCTTCGCATAGTTGGAACGCTCTCCATGTTAACAGATTGGAACCAAACAGATATTGTCGGAGTGACGGTGCCCACCTTCTTCATCCAGGATGCCAGTCAATTTCCTGATTTGGTCCATGCGATCAAGCCCGAGCCTCAGACCGAGATCCCCCAGGGTGGTACCGCCCACACTACTGCCTATGACTTCTTCTCCTCGCAGCCTAGTGCGCTCGGCACCGTCCTTTGGTTCATGACCGGCCATGGCATCCCCCGTTCTTTCCGTCACGTTAATGGACATGGTGTCCATACTTACCGCTTTGTGACCAACGCTGGCGAGTCTGTCTATGTCAAGATTACCTGGAAGAGTATGCAGGGTGTTGTTAGCATGGTTTGGGAAGAAGCCCAGGCTATTGCTGGTAAGAACTTCGACTTCCATCGCCAGGACCTGTACAATGCTATCGACCAGGGCCACTTCCCAGAATACGAGCTTGGTGTCCAGATTATCCCTGAATCCGACGCTTTGGCCTACGGCTTCGATGTCTTGGACCCTACCAAGTTCGTTCCCGAGGATGTTGTCCCTATTACCTGGCTTGGAAAAATGCAGCTTAACCGAAATGTTGTCAACTACTTCGCCGAGACTGAGCAGGTTGGCTTCCAGCCTGGTCACGTCGTTCGTGGTATCGACTTCTCTGAGGATCCTCTTCTCCAAGGTCGTATTTACTCCTACCTCGACACTCAGCTCCAACGTCACGGATCCGCCAATTTTGAGCAACTTCCCATCAATCGTCCTCGTGGACCTGTTCACAACAACAATCGTGATGGTTTCATGCAGTCCAACATTTTCACCAACCAGTATGCTTACACTCCCAACACTCTGAACGGTGGCTCTCCCATGCAGGCCAACCAGACTGTTGGTAACGGTTTCTTCACTTCCCCGGACCGTTACTACAGCGGTTACCTGCTACGTGAGCAAAGCCCTACCTTCAACGACTTCTACACTCAACCTCGTCTGTTCTGGAACTCTCTTGTTCCAGAGGAGCAGCAAATGCTCGTGGATGGTCTCCGTTTCGAAGTTTCGCACGTTCCCGAGGTATCTGTTCGGATGGCGGTTGTGACCCACCTGAACATGATTGACAATGACCTCGCCTGCCGTGTTGGTGCCGCCCTGGATATTCCTTGCCCTGCTCCTAACCCTATGTACTACCACAACAACAAGACTATCGGAGTTAGCGCCTTCAACACTCTGTACAATATTTCTGGTCTGCAGGTTGGTTTCCTCGCTTCCAATGCCTACCCTGAGTCCCTTGCCCAGGGTATGCAACTTGCCATGAGCCTGGCTCCCGCCCAGGTTGATGTCACCATCATCGCCGAAACCTTGATGGGCGCTAATGCCACCTACTCCGCCACCGATGGCTCTCTTTACGATGCCATTATTGTCGCCGATGGCGTTCAAGATCTGTTCTCTCAAGCTTCGTTCACCTACCAGCCTAAGAGCACCACCGACATGCCAAAGGTTGTGTCTTCGTACTCGAGCCTGTTCCCTGCTGGCCGTCCCACCATGATCCTTGTGGATGCATTCAAGTACGGAAAGACCGTGGCCGCTCTTGGCTCTGGTAACTTGGCCTTGAAGATGGCCGGCATTGCTTCCAGCGTCCCTGGTGTGTATTACGCCGGAAGCATTGATTCTCAGTTTGTCTCGGATATTGAGTCTGGATTGACTCAGTTCAAGTGGCTCAACCGTTTCGCCCTGGACTCCAACTGAACGTGCCAAATGGACAAATGGATGATTGTTTCTCATATCAGCAAACGTGGAGAGCATGCCATGATATTTGACATAGAGCGCTTTTCGGCATCTTGTTGATATCAAATTTGTATCTTCATCTAGAACTTACATGTGGGCTGTGAATCTGAGGATATACTTGCAATTCTAGACGACATTCAACATCTTTGTCTCGCTTCACTATGTTACAGTATGGTAGTGGTTTCGTTTAACTAGAATTCTAATACACTTTTAATTTAGGCTAAATGTCAGTGCATGCAATATTCCAGTTGATGTCTATATTAGCAGGAGCCCCTTGACGGTTGATGTCACTCACTAAACAATTTTCGGTTCTATTTTTCTTGAGATTGAATTCCCAAGGCAGCTAGTCCAACTGCTCTTTCGTAACCCCGTCTGAGAAATAGTGGAGAGCTTATTGTGCACTCCCAAAGTGCAGTTTATGTGACCGTTAAGAAACTTGAATCTCTGCCCTTGGCTTTGTCTATGAAATCCCTAGCCATTATGTGCTGTATTCGTATTATCCTGCCCTTTGCGGCTTTGACAATATTCGGTTGGCATGTTTAGGGTTATGTCGAAAACCCTTAATCAGTGACTTTTGAGACAGGCCGTATGTAGAAATCCAGAGCAAGGTTTTTATACTTTCCCCGAGTGGTGCATTGGAGTCTTTAGATCCCATAAAGGGAGTGCAATGGGACATTCCCGGCATGCTGGTGTGGCTGGAGAGGGCTGTTAATGACGTGGCAGGTCCATGTTGCTGCAGTATAGTAATCCCTAGATGTCCATTCAGACTAGGCTATTTCATAGGAGTGGTGGGAGAATTTCGCATTTTAGTAGACTATCATAGAGTAAGAGTCGAAAATAGATTCCCTAGCACCCTTTAATCTCCGCTTTAATCTGGGACATTCTTGGTTTGCTCTGCTGGCTAATAAACCGCCAATTCGAGGCTTCAACAATGTCGTTTTTAACTGTTTCTGTCACAAATGCGAAATTTAGATTGTAAATAAAGCCAGACTTGCTTAGCGATGCGCGATTTACCTCGATAGGCCCGCAAGACTTGACAAGATGAATGAATATCGCTTTGAGGCGCACTGGTTCATGTGTTGGCTTATCTTCTGGAACAGAATATTTGGGATCACACTGATCTACCATGTTACTGGTGTATAAACCGAGTCGTCGCAAACATCTTAGCTCCCAGCGCCTTATACTAATCTTAACAGTTTGGATGACAGTGGTTTGGATGAGGCTAAGGAGAAGGATGAGAGCCATGGTATAATAAATGATAGTAAGAACTTCGCCCCATATTTGAGACTTTCTAAAATTGAAGGAGCATTCTGGTAAAAAATTTGTCGGAGATCTTTTTGAAAGAAAGAGAATTGTCTATGTACAGATGTGAAGAGCCGTGGGCTTGGTTGCAGTGTCGGGGAGCAAAGGCAATAGAAGAGAACCAAAAATCTATTATTACATCATGAATGGGCAAGCCAAGGGTCCAGGCACAACTATATTATTAACGTTCAAGTTCCAACGAGGGAGAAATGGGATTACTGTTTTTGGAAGTTAAGTAGAGTGGATCCATGGAGACCAATCAACAGGAGAGGAAAACCATGGGTCTGCACCTTCCGCAGTGTGCTGGGGCGAAAAACCCTTGATTATTATTCAAGCGACCACTCGAGACCAAATGTGCTTACATAATACTGCATTGAACTAACTAGTTAACTAGTTAGGCTATATATGTGGATACGCCTATTCAGATTTCGTGTTGAAAAAGATCACTCGATATACGCACTGGAACTATTCTGGTACTTATACGACTATACTATAAGTCACTACATCGTTAAACCAGCACCATCACCATGAATTCTCTTTTGCAAGATATCACGCGACGCATTCGCTATTTCTGGCAGACTTACAGAGCCCTGATGGCGAAAAGCACCGATCTTTGGGATGAATACGATTCATAAAGCCTTAAGCATTAGCAAAATACGCAACGCTGGACATATTATGGTTATTTCACCATCGAGTCGCACCAGTTGCCAAAACAATACCGCCTATTCATAACGATCTTTCAAACTGCAGATGGGTCAATTTCCACGCGAAAACGACCGATCAAGAGGGTGGTAGGGATCGTGAAAGGGCTTGATGTGAATGCGTTTCTCAACGACTAGAGGCGGTGTACAAAGGACTAGGCTGATATATCACTAATATAGAGGAATTAGTGAAGTCTTGCCGTACTGTACATTTCCCTACTACATAGCCCACGAAGATAAAATCAGTTGCACTAGCCTAGTCGTGGCGCTGATTCAGCCCTATCTATCATTTCCTTCTATTTCGCCTTGAATCATTAAGCATTTCGAAAACACTAACTACCACGCGCTCAAATGCCGGAAGCCCACTGTAATCTTTCTCATACACAAATTCTCATTTGATAACAAACTTCCTTTCCGGCTGGGAGCTGGGTCGACTCATCGACGGCCTGAAAGATACCATCATCCACCAAACCACACTCGTCGAATCACCAAAGCGGAGCTGTTGGATATCAAGCTGGATTAAAATGTGTTGCTGGCCTGGAACGAGAGGCTCAATGAGGAAGTGCAGACGCTGCGAGCGCTGATCAAAAGCCTGCCATTGGCGGCCCTGGCAAGATCATGGGCTATCATGGCAGGTAACGCGCCCAATCTGGCCCCTGAGGTGAATACCCAACGACGAGAGGAAGATCAGAATTGCGTTACAATCAGCATCCAACGCTCCTGTCTTGATACTTAAGATAACCACGGAACCAACAGCGAGAGATTCGGACGGTAGATTCGCACCGTGACAGCCTACACCTATATTCGAACCGCGTTGCTGAAACTCCCAAAACCCAAGGTACACAAATGCAGGAATCGGCACCACAAAGACCGGCTATGTGACCCGGTTCAAGAACCCAGGGTCAGCAGAAGAGGGTCACAATAATACCATATATTGAATGAACCAGGTAATAATACAAAACAAATGTGCGTGTTCCCTGCGAAGTTCGCAATCTCTGATTCCCTTACTTCGGCGAAGGCTGTCGACTGTTATCAGCTACACAGCTGATTTTCCACACACCCTCTCGTTTTAACAAAGATACGATATTCGTGCCCACGTGATGGATCTCCCCGTCGATGTAGAATTTATATGGCGCCCAGATCATTGCAATATCGTGGTCGATCTTTACTTCCGGATCATATATAACTTCTTCGAGAGTCCCAGCTAATTCATCAAACGGGATTCGTTCAACAACCTCAGTCAAGGTAAGAATCAAAGTGTTGGGGGGGCGTGAGAGCGTGGCACCCCCTGTCGGCAACACAAAAGAGAGCATGCGATCTTTATCCCGGTCCCGAATGCCGTCCAGAAACATCTGAAACGTAGACAGCACAGCATCAAGATCTGCGACGTGTTGTGTTTCGTCGTCAGTCATTTTAGCTGATAGGACACTGGCGGTATTTGGACGAGGAAATGGTTTTGAGCGGATGATAAGCGTGGTATGTTGTGAAAAATGGAAGTCTTTAAGCTTAGTAAAGCACAGATAAAGTGCCATGCGGTCTCAATAGAGGACACGTTACATTAACTATCCACCTGCAAGAAAAATGTTACAAGCTAGACTAGAAGAGGAAAGGGCAAAATACAGACTAGACCGTAGAAGACCTTGTAAAGTGTGGATCGAGTTCCGTACTTTCGTCATTTCTTCCCGTGATCTTCTTCCTCCTTTGTTCTTTCTCAATTGAATTGACCTTTGAGTAGCAGTTAGCTCTGCTGCTTGATCCCCGACCGGAGCAGACGTAGCCAGTGCTATCGTGCTTTACCCTGTGAGATTCTGGTCCCTTTGCTTATGCGAGAAACTTGAATGCGATAATAACGTAATTCCCGGCCGACCCGATCACCCCAGAACCATACTAAGTACGACATTTCATAACTTTACATCTCGACACTCAACGCTAATTATATGGTCTTAGGCTGTCTAGTTATTAGACATATTATACTAGGTCTATTTATGAGCTTAAGAAAGATTTTAGGGCACGATACTATAGAAAAAGATCAAACAAACAAGATAGAAGAGGAGCCAGAAAGCAAGCCAAATCAGAAGAAATCAATACAGCCAAGCCAGCAAGGAATTCGTTGCCTAGCCTACCAGGCAGCCAACCACCTATCATCGGTTCCCCCACTACACTAGTTAACTAACTAATATGAGAGTCAGGAAGCACACTACGTTCCAATATCTAGATTCCTACCTAATACGATTCTAGCGCTTCTCTATGAGACTATGAGTTTCTACCAGTCTTCTGCCTCTTCTTTAATATTATCGAAAACCTTATTAGTGGAGGAAAGCTACTTAGTAATAAGAGGGCGAGTATATTTCTTAATATCGTAATATACGGAGTACTAGAGGCAGAGTATCGAATTTTCCTCTAGAAAGACCGCGCGAATCGTATTAATATTAGCGTCGTCTTTATCCGTAAAAATTATCAATAGGTAGCTATTCCTAATTAATTTAGTCTCGTATATCTCGCGGAGGTAGCGGAGAGCGAATGTAAATAATAGCTTTTACTAATCTCCTCGGAATATAAAGCTAGCGTAGAATGTATAGCCCAGATGTACCATAATTATAAGTAATAGGAGGTAAGTGTTATATTATATGTATAAAAGACTATACTTACTAGTATATAAGATTCCTATAATATCTAGAAGTAGTATCTTAAATCGATTCTTCTTAAACACATAGTCTATCTAGAGGATATACGGATAAACTTTTAGTAATACGATACTTGTCTTGAATATTACGAATAGGCAAAATAGGCTATTATTATCTTCCCGTAGCTAGTATCAGAAGATCTAATCTCCCTAGCTAGAAAGCTCTACCAGCATGACCTAGATAGAAGATTGCCAATTAAGAAGATTAACGGTTATTTAATCCTTCAGGTTATAGAGTCACGGATCTATATCGCAAGCCAGCAATTTATGTTAATTCAACCTCTCTAGTGAAGGGTCCTTAACGACCCTAAGTCACTATCTTTGACTACTAATGTCGAATAGTGGCCACTAGTTTTTGTATGTACCAAATTTACTTAAACCGATTAATCCCTATCCTTAACAGTCTCGGCGATACTTATTAGTAGGAGTTAATAAATTTAGCTATATTAGAGAGATCGAGCCGGTAGAATATTATATAATCGCAAGAAGAGGGGCTATATGTTAAAAACTTCTGGAATATAACTCTACCTACTATAGGATCTGTTGGAATGTTATGCGGTCTGCATAAAGATAGTGGACAGAAGGATATTCTGCACACAAATCAATATGTCACAACGTGATGGGTGAAGAGTGAATATAGAGCGATGTGAAGGAAGCAATTCGTATGCGACCGGCAATATCAGAGTTGAGCAATTTGACTAGGTGCGTACGATATTCAGTCTCGGATCAGAAGAGAATTCAAACTTGTTCCTTTTCACTCATAAAACATAAGGGTCTTATAACATGATGGGGAAATTCAATCAACAAGAAGGAAAGTAGAAATGTTGGGATACTCTTTGATTTTCCTTCTGAAGAAGGATAATCAATGCGATCGTTGAGGATCAATACAAAAAGCAAAGGATCTTGGTGTGCAGATCTATTGTGTAGATCGGATTGCATCCTTATGGTCAATGCGTACCAATGGATCCACACGCATATGGTATATGCTGACAGTATTTTACTAGCAACTCCTATACTGTATAAAGTTACTGTCTCCCGGTCCGACAACCGTTATCTCCGTAAAGGACTCGGCTCACCATGTTGTCGTACTCTTAGGTCGATCGTCTCTGGCTCGTCCAGTCTTTCTAGGTTCATAGTTTTTATCACCTCGGGGATCATAATCAGCTGCTTTGAATTAAACACTTCCTTGTGTTATGAACGGTAATTGTTGAACTCAGGCACCAAGATATCTAATCAACATGGTCGCATTCAACGAAGGAATCAAGTCTAAGGAGAGAAGAAAGAAAAAACTACGGTGATGTGAGCTGAGCCTTTTATGAGCGACCAGCCTCAGGCATCTTCCTGGCAAACTTCCCAAAGCGGAAATGTCCGAAGCATCCAAAAAAACAACCCAGTTAACCAGTTATCCCCACGCACTTACACGTATCGGTAACATCTACGTCTAGAGTAAATAAGACAGGTCTACGAAGCGTGCGTTACACCGCTCATCGACTATACGTCGACGATCTAATATAACCCCCTTAGAGATAAGACCTATCTCCCATACGTACCCACCGTTCAGCGGGTAGCACTCATCTGGGTCCTATCCGCCTTTCGAACGGTTGCAACGGCGACCCTAGATGTAGAGGTATATCCGTGCCCTTTGGCCCACCCACAGCGCTTCCCAGCGGTGGGTGGGCCAAAGGGCACGGATACATTCTACTAACCTACTGTGAAGGAAAAGGATAGGGAGGTTCCCGGCAAGTTTACTTTCTCTCTGAAAGGATCTTTTAATAGGGCCCTGTGGGAACCCCGTCAAAACCCCCACTGTTCGAGCTCATCTCGAGGACCTTTATCAAGGGTGTCATACGAACCTTCTTCGTTTCGCACCAAGTCATTAGAGGGCCTTTCAGAAGGCCTCTGCTTGCCGATTGATCCAGTCAACTACGTCATGTATTTAGAAGATCTTGAGGATAAAAGATCCTGTGCGAAGGGTCTTGAGAAGATCCTCAAGATTCAGTTGATGTTTGAATGCACACTCTAGTTACTACCTCTTCACTATCTAAACAACCAATATTCTATACTCGTAACTCTGTAGCCATTTTCCTCTACCTGACCCTTAGATCTCTTCTTAATTTCGATTTTGTTAAGAGAGTCCTACCCCCTTACACCTCCCTTCGCCTACGCCAACGTACACAAACTACCATTATAAGACTCTATACCTTAACCTAGAAATATCCTTTATAGAGCGCGCTACGTCGAGCTTACCGGAGACAAAATAATCTTAGGTCGTTTGCCCGTTTCCTACTAGCAGAAGCGTTAAAAACGATAGATCTAGATCGGTTATCTAAAATTAAGATAATCGACCCAACGCCGCTACCTACATAGAGGCGTGAGACGTTTTCTAGAATCGAGATTGAACTAGATAGAGAACTCGCACTAGGACGAGCGGAGGTGATACGATCTAACTCGGACGTTGTAGTATACTTAGACGCCTCCGGCCGGCAAGGTCATTTAGGGGCCGCAGCAATCGTACTCAATAAATTACTACGGACAACAGAGAGTATATAGATCTAGGTTAGCACTATAGACCGGTGGTCCGTCCACGCTAAGGAGCAATTAGTATCCTATACGCCATCAACCTTATCCATAAAGTCGCTCTCCGGCGCTAGAGAAAGTTATAGACGCGCGTGCGAACGGCCATTATCCTTAGTAACAGCATGTCGGCAATACAGATCATCTAGAACCCTGGAAATACGTAGGGCCAACAGATCATCCACGCCATTCTCCAAGCTGGCCAAAACGCTCTGACCTATACTATAGCAATCCGACTACAGTGGATACCAGGACACTATGAAATATCTAAAAATAACATCGCTGACCGGCTAGTTAAGGAGGCAGCCGTACCGGGCAAAACACATCCGTTCAGTCCCCTACTATCACGCGAACGGACACATATCCGGCAAGGAATCCAGGCTCAATAGGAGAAGGAATGGAAGGCAGCAAAGACTAGCAGCCACCTACGCTAGATCGACCACACCTTGCCAGCCAAGTACACGCGACGGCTTTATGGATCCTTACCTAGGAGCCGAGCCTATCTACTCACACAACTGCGAAGTGGGTACTGCTGGTTATCAACATATGCGAAGACTTTCCGCTTCCGTGACGACGACCGTTGCGCCTATAAGGAGCGACAGAGCGTGATTTATGTTCTACTGGACTGTCCCAGGTTGAGGGATTTACGGAGGGATCTACGAAGGAAAATAGGTGACGCGTTCAACAGCATATCAGCCTTATTAGGAGGACCGGGAGAAGAGGGACGCGGTATGCTCGACAGTGCTTCGAGAACTAAGACCGGGTGTTACGCTCAGTTACGAAGAGACAGACATCAACCAACGTAGTAGCATTTGACGAAAAAACTAAGCATAGGGAAGGAAAGAAGGAGAGAGTGCGAGAGGACAATCTAAATACATGATGGATGCCTGCGGCTGCAGGCATCAAACCAGGCATCAAACGTCACCACATGTGGACCGTCACATCGTGGAAGCGGTCTTGGACTTTGCCGAAGCATCACAAAGGTTTCAGAGCCGCGCGCAATGAGGGCAGCATAACTATACCCGTGGCTACTAGGCCACGACAGGCCTCGGCGAGGCCCCAGGTTCGCTTAGGAAGTGGAATACGACATGTACGAGTGGAGATATATCTAGTTAAGATAGCCTGCATATTACCTTTGGTGAGGGGCCAGGGTAAATGAAGCACACACACACACACTCTCTCTCTTTGTGTATGTGTGTGTATGTACGAGTCTTCAATGGAGTTCCATAGAAGCAGCCAATAGTGGGTCTATGCAAATCATGTGGAGAGGGCCGCCTCGCACCTAGTTCCTAGACAATCTGCCAGATGACTAGAGCATTATGGAATATTCTATGAGCAGGTTAGAGCCGTAATAATTCTCCTCTTCTCCCAGGCTTTTTTTTTATAAAGAGATAAGAAAATAGAGGAAGGAGAGGAAACCAAAATTTATATGGAAAACCCGATAAAGGAAATCCTCCCTGATGCGTTCAAGCCGGAGTTGATTTGGAGATATAAACCGTCGTCGCACAATTCGACCATAGTGACTATTTTTTAGCATTCCAGGTTTGTATAAGCACACCTGTCGCCGGATCCCAGAGGCATATTGTTTTATCCAAGGAGCCGGACGCCAGGAGCCGGCCGTCGGGCGAGAAGGCCACTGACTCAACTGAAGACGAATGGTCTTCGAGCGTCTGTAGTTCTGGGCCCTACGTTTCTTCAACTCGTGGTGACTGGCATATCCAAGTCGGAATCTCTTGTTTGAATTGTTTACGGACTATTGCCGTTCGGGGTGCAAATATAAGTCCTGCGCAGTAAATCTGATGAGGCGCTTGATCAACCATCTGGCGGTTTTTCAGGATAAATCGCCTCGCGTCGTGAAGGAAATCCGAAATTGGGGAAGACTCATTGCTCTAATGCTGTCAGTGTGAGTCATGTCTGATTATCTTGGGAACTTCCCGATATAGCCATTTGGAAGCGATCAAGAATACCTAGTATTTCCGACGTAAGACCCAGTAAGCTCATTGCTTCGACCCAGTTCAAAAAATGCCTCTGAAGAAATAACAACGCATCATGCATCATTCCAATTAAGTCGGTGCATTGTATCAGATGATTTACCCAGTATCGACAGGCGCTCTGTAAGCCCCAAGGAAGGTTGCGATCGATAGTGAGTTGATTAACCTCTGTACGTTGAGTTCCATCACTAGGTAGTCCACAGATATTTCTTCGCAGATTATGACACATACGAAGGCATTGTTTAGTCAACTTGCAGTGTCTCGCTTTTTTATCCACCCAAAAGGGGGTTTTCTTGCGGATTTCCGGATTAAGAATAAAATCCCGAAATGACGGATGAAAGAGCCGTACTGACGAAGTCTTATCATCTGGCACAGTCAAAACCGGGTGTGATGAGTTTAGCCGAGTATGGATAAACCTCTCAGAGACATCTAGAAGTCTCGACAGTGAAATAACTGACAGCGGGTTCTCTAGGATCATGATTGTACCAACCACTTCATGAGAATCTTGAACCAGTGTCAGCGTCCCGCAATGGTTTGGATAGAGCAGGGCTAGTTGTTCGCATTAATCAAATCAACATTATCTAGTCGAACCAGAAGGTCGGCAAGGACGACGTGTCAACGCTCGATACGCTCAGCTAGGGGTGGAGTTGGAGGCTATCTCGTACGTCAGGACGATGCTCCCTTGTATCCAGATGTCGCCGTAGAAAGTTCATACCACGATCGTTGTGAGCAACCCTAGTGTTGACGTCGCTTACGAAGCCGCACCTCCAGGATTGGCAGGCCCTTATCACCCTAGTCACCGACGCAAACAATCAATTATCGGAGATGGTCTCGAAGGTCAACCTACGGTAGCCGACTGATGAAGACGGAGAAAGTGCGGCGCGAGCGCGTAGCCTGGCGTGCGAGGCCACAACAGAGAATACCGAAACCAACCCCCCCCCCCCTTCACCTTAGGCGGAAGTCCAGCTCCGAGCATCGTCGTTACGGTGGGCACGTGTTAACGTGGTAGAACACAGAAAAGACATTTTCAGACAGTCAGCTACTGGTCAGTTCACACATCATTTCGATTCCGTACTGCATGGCCCCTATACGAATACACTCTATGATTGCCTTAACCGGGAAGGAGCATCGATCTTAGCCCTGTCTTCACACTAGACATGCTAGACTCAACGGATATCTCCATGGACGAGGCCAAAGCGATAGCGATCTACGCTCGTGTGGCATCGGCGGTGAGGCGGTATCGCATTTCTTGTTATATTGTGCACGGTAGAGTGAACAACGGCGCGCTCTCATCAAAGCAGTTGGCTCCAGTTTTGGTAGCCTGTCACTCATGCTAGGTGGGTAACCTAGAGAACACACGGGCAAGCGGAGGGATAGAAAACCTTAGAAGCCTGAGGTGAAAGTCGTTAAAGCAGTTATCGCATCCTCGACTAAAACTAAGAGATTGGCAAATGAAGGGTATAAGGCGTGACGCCCATTAGGCGAAGTCATGTGGTAGTTAACCGTGGTATGTTTTACTAATATTAGGTAACTGCTAGGCCGTCGGACGCATTTTATATCCCGCTCAAAGTCCACTTACTCCGCTTGGGGTAAACAATATATCTGCAGCAGATAGAGTCAAACGCAGTGGTCTTAGGGGCGCCGCGAGGCAGCCCCTGGCGCTAGAAATTTTCCCTAGAGAAAGTTCTACGGCTAGTGGGTCGGGAGTTCGATTCTCAATTCTCAGCACTGGGACAATCTTACCACCACGGAGCCTTTCCATGGAGAATTGTCTAGTTTCAGAGGCCCCTAAAAAGCGGGTATTACCTCCTAGGAGGCAAGTGGGCGTTGGCCTGGCCCCCGCCATCCAGGGTACTTGCAAGAACGCTTTTAAGCCAATGAACAGCCTGAATTTGATTATCAAGCTCAGATATAAACGGGAGCGGATGGTAAGTTCATGCCTCAACTAAGCTACTTATCCCCCTTTGGGATTGGGGTAGGTCATGGAACACGATGACGTGGCTAAAAACCTCTCTAGGGGAAGAAAAGCGCGGCAGAAGCGCATTCCAGAAGTAGGCGGTGAATACGGTGTAAAGGTGGGTCAATAAAGGGTGTCCAAACTTACGAGACGTCGCTGTACTCTGTAACGTATACTGCCCAAATGTCCCGCGCAGATAGGCGGTATGGGGCGAGGAAAAGAATCCGAACAGTCAAAGATATATTTAGAAACTGGGGAGCTCATGCTCACGATCCGCTGTCTATCATATCACACAGGGCTCGGTAAGGACAATAAACTTGATTACTACTACTATCATTTGAACTTCTATGAGTTAGTTCCTTTACTGTGTTTCGTGATATCCGTTCCTATTAGGGATTTACATATCAGGGTAGAAGGCCTATCGATCAGGCAAAGAAACAATAACGAATAGGTTCTGAAACGTAATAAATCCAATGTACATAAACTGAATCTCGGGAGGATAACCAGTTACACTGTATGCGCGATCCTCTTAACCCCTCTTCATCAGCAAGGGTTCGGTGCATTAACTGTGGGGATTAGCAATATGATCAATGATATGATCTTTGATGATCTAATCCCTAACGGTTTCATCATGTAACTAGACTGAGGGAAATGAGTTGTATAGTCAAAGGCAGCTAAGTACGTTGCATTTATTTAGAGACGCAGATGGATCTTTGCCTTGGCTGTCTATCATATGTTAACTAAGATATGCTTCTTCTCATGCTGAATGCAGCCTTAATCATGACTTCATGATTAATTTTTCGGCAGTAAATAGGTCACTGATGCTCTTACTACGTACAACCATGTCTCTGTGAGATCGCTTAGAAGGAGATGGCAGCCTAGTAAATTAATATGAAACCTTAGATCCTGGTTCTTTCTCCTGATCGTCAGGGACTAGATAATGAGGTCATTATGTTAAAGATCTAATATATTATGCACATTAATAAGGAACCAAGACGCGCTTATCGTGGATACTTCTAGAATAGTATGTTAACCAATAAATACAGTTTTAGGATAGTCCACATTGTAGCGGCCCAGTGCCCGATAGATCACGTACGGACACGTGACCTTCAGTCTGTTTACACCGCACTTCGCCGTGGATCCTCATGTTTTCTGCAAGCTTTTGGTAAACAGTTTGTGGCCTAGCTAGATTGAATCAGGTCTTGCTTTAACCCTTCACATACATTGAGTGTTGATCATGTACTGAGTCGTGACTTAGTAGGTTGGATCATAAGAATTACTTCTCTCATCTCGAGCATGAGAAATGCACAAATAAGAAGTGTTGTGATAAGAAGCTCTGTATCGGAATAAATTCCTATCTTCTGCGGAATTACTTAGACTAATTGGAAATCAGTCCTGCATATAAATCCCTAAGTTTTCTGTTCAGAAAAAATCAAGCTACCTTCCTCTGAATTATAACAAGGAGCCATTGTAAGCGCCTATGAGAAATAGGGACTCTGTTGGTATTTCTTCGAGATATAATCCGAACATGGAACAATGAATACTAGCGCTTCCATCGGACTCTTGAATTTATTTTTTAAGTGAACCGCTTCTGTCGAGCTTGGGCTTAAGCCGAAACCATGGCTGATGCACCACGGCTATTAGGATTTCAATCTAAGTTTGAGGTGAAACAATTGCCAATGTGCCATACACATCGCATGTTTTGAGTGCGTTAGGGCGTGGTCGTATTTACAATGTTAGAATTTAGGATACAAGCCTGGTCAACTGTGGACACATAAAAGCCCTTCTCTTTTCCCATCAAAGTCTTCTTTTGCTTTCCTCACCCTGTTGAACACGTTCTCTCATTATCCAATTCTTCTTCTTATTGTTTTCCTTTACTTCATTGACTGAAGTTTTTCTTCGTTTGCACTGTTCACTCTTTACTTAACAATGTCTCTTTCTAAAGTTGCATGCCTTATTATAGGCACAGTTGGTCTGGCCGTAGCTCATGGCCACATCGATCGTATCGACATTGATGGCAGGTCCTATGGTGGATTCCTAGTCGATAAATACCCCGGTCAACCAAATGTCCCTGAACTCATTGCGTGGTCAACTGCGGATACTCAGGACGCCTATGTTCAAACTTTTGATTACAATCAGTCGAACATTATCTGCCATCAGGACGCTAAGCCTGGTGCTCTCGCTGGGGAGGTTGCTGCTGGTGGCAAGGTGACGCTGCACTGGAGCAGATGGTTTGAAGATCACCGTGGTCCGGTAAGTGATCAGAGGAATCCGGCAATAACCGAGGCAGAAGTGGTTGAATCCAATCAGAACCCTAACACATCGTAGGTCATTAGCTATCTTGCGAGCTGCAATGGGAGCTGCGCTTCTGTGAACAAGACGAAGCTTGAGTTCTTCAAAGTTGAAGAGGCTGGTCTTCTCGACAACAAGAAGTCCCCCGGAAGGTGGGCCAGTGATGAGCTTATGGCTGCCAACAATACCTGGACGGTCAACATCCCCTCCGACATCGCACCAGGCAATTACGTCCTTCGTCATGAGATCATCGCATTGCATAACGCGATGAGAGACAATGGTGCACAAGCTTATCCACAATGTATCAACCTGAAGGTGACAGGGGGTGGCACTGCTACTCCCAAAGGCATTCCTGCGACCCAATTTTACAAGCCAACCGATCCCGGCATTCTGGTCGATATCTTCAACAACCTTCGCACTTATGTGATTCCAGGCCCAGCCCTCTACAATGGCAGAAGTGCAGCGCCTACGAGCACCGCTGTCACCCCCACTGGAGCATCTCCCACCGCCGCGTCTTCCACCCGAGCCTGGGCGATCCCCGCTGCAGCGCCTCAGGGTTGTAGATCTGTTCCCGACCAGAGCCCTCGTTAGATCATATCTGCACCCGTGACAACTGAGGGTCCTTTGCCATCCCGTCGGGGTCTGTCTTTTGGTAAGAAGCAGAATTTTCAAGCTTATGGGAGTTCCTAATCCTACAAGAAAAGATTCTCTGGCTGGATTGTCAGGGGCAGGAAGCATGCTCGAGATCTCTCTGTCTAATGTCATTGTGCGCGGGATACTTTTCGGGAAATAATGTGTTGAAATACGTTATTTATTTATGTATTTTTGAACTGTTTTCCTGGACTTTTCCCATGACCGCGCTATTCGCCCTGCATCCTTCTAATTATATTGACTGCCTCCCCTCCTTTCCGGAGACCCTACATTATCCAATAATGGTTGTCGTGCGAGCCAAGAAACATGGCCCGTTTCCTAGCCCCGCACCCCATGTGTATGAACTGCCCCGTGGGGCTATATGCAAGCAAAGAGGCCAGGAGGTGTCGCTGTTATTGTGTATATAAAGCTCTAGGAAATCAGCCATTTGATTATATGTTCCTACACCTCATTCTAAATTGCCAGTGTGGGTTATTTTCAAGAACCGGAGAATGCATTTGATAAATGGAGACACCCGGAAGATATGCAGTCTATCTAATCCATACTCCAGATGGGGGTGGCTGCTACGTTCTCCGGAAGATAGATTTCTTCCTAATGCCGGTCCTAATCATTGCATTTATGCTTCAGCATTTTGAAAAGGTAATTCTCAACGGCGCGTCTCAGTTTGGCATTATCGAGGATCTAGATCTCTCTAATGCGCAGGGATACACGCCTGGTCCCAACCCACTGCCGATTCTTGATTTGCAGCGATATTCAACTGCTACACTTATCTTCTACTGGGGGTGAGTGACAGGAGGTGTGTATTACAATTTCTTCTCTATGAACGGGATCTTCAATTGTTGCTGACATACATAAGTACTGCCCGCTGCGTGGTTGGCCCAGAGACTGCCTATCGGCAGGTATCTCGCGTGCACAGTGATTGTATGGGGAGTTGCTATGCTAACGGTCCTCGGTCCTCGCTGGTGGCTAACATGCCTTCCTGGCTCAAAGATTGATGGACAAACAGCTTCAACTTGGTGAACTACTGTTGGTAATGTATTGCTAGATTTTTTCTCGGCGTTATGGAGTGTGCTGTAGCACCCAGATTTTCCATCATGACTTCAATGTGGTGGAAGAGAGCAGAGCCACGCGTATACTGAAAATAGGTATAAAAGCCCTAACTTTAATACCTGATTTACGACGCTATAGGAATCGTAGAAAGAAGATAAGATGTATTTAAGAATACAGGGAAGTTAAGCTATCTAGCTATAATATAATTATAGTATAATAATAAAGTTCTAGAGGTACCTAAATACTATGATTTGCTATATTCATCGCCAGCCTAATGAAAAACTGTCCATTTTCCGAAGCATCTTTGCGCTACATCAACCCGCCCATCTGCTTACCCTGTAGGCGTTCGCTGCAGGGATAGGCAGGTATCGATAAAACTGGTTCCCGTTGCCTTCCACGTCGATAGAGTCGATGGGGCAGTGCTTGGTGCCAATTCGGACACAATTCTAGTCTTTATCTAGGTGTTGGTAGCGCGGCTGAGGGTGCATGTTATCCATACTGGCTGCTACGGCGGCAGACGACCGGGCCGAGGGCGCCGGTGGCGGACTGTCGAGTTGTGCTCGCGGAGCTTTGACTTTTTCATGGAGCTTTTGGTTCTGTTCTTGGAGGACATTCTGTTCTTGTTTGACCTCATGCAGCTCAGCTTTGGTCGACTCGATGAGCGTGGTTTGGCCGCGGATGAGGTCCTCTAGCTCGTCGATGAGCTTCCACACCTCCCGGGTGGTGACTCTACCAGTGCTTTCCTCGTGAATGTTGTTCTCACTCTGTCGTCGGTTTTTTTTTTGCGACTCGCGTTGGGATATTGGCTACCCTAGGCTGGAAATTCTCGACTGAGAACTCGGTGGTCCCTTGGGTGTTTGTGGGTGAGGCTTCGAGAGGCCTCGCTGGTGGGTCCACCATCTGAGCATTGCCATCATGCGTATTGACACGATGATTAAGCTGGACCCAGAGCAGAAGCAGGATGACGGCGGTGGCCATTAGGCTACGGTGCCCCGATGTAAATTCCTCAGCTAGAAAAAATTGGGAATTGGATCTTTCATATAAAATGGGCATGGCAGGGACTTCCCACGACGTCTGTTCCTACAGTATTACATTTGCACGTTGTAAAATGGCGAAGCTGTGAATTGCGTGTCACGTATCTTCATCGCATTGACTCGCTCTTCGGCCTCTTCGCCCTTTTTCCACCTCCATACCTCTCATTCCTCTCTCATGGCTGCCCCAATTTGCTGTCTTTCCTGCCCCTGCCGCCATTGTGTGTGCGCCTTCAGCCCAGTGCACTTCAATTTTTATTTCGCCGGAGATGCCACTTTGTTCTGGCCCACGTTAGCTGCAACCGAATCTGGTGAGCGCCACGCAGCTTTCCCGTAGCGTTTAAACTAAAACAAAATATGGGCAATTTTCCCGCCAATAAGCGTTCCTCTTTACAAAGGATACCCCGCGCGAGGAATCTATTCCCTCCAGAGATTCTTTCTCGCGCTATAAAAATCAAATAATTAGCCCAAGAAACTTCCACCATGGCGGAAACCCACTACAGTGAGTAAAATAGATACGAATAATGATACCGGAGTTACCCACGAGAGAAACTACATGGATGATAATAATTACATGCTCTAGGAGTTGTGCATTACTCTGAAAAGCACACGACAACGTGATGTCGTCGAATGCGATGAGAGGGCCACAGAACTCAATTAAGTCTAAGCTAGCCTTTTCAACTGCCCCATTCTCCCCGCACGCAGTCAGTTAATCTATATCCAATGTCACGGACATGAAAGAGGCCATTAGAGGTGGAGAAAATTATTCCGACAGAGTGTCCTGGTCACCATTCGCTGGACTCGACCTTAGGAGTAGTTGCTGGATGCGGAGAAAGAGATGTCGACTATCATATAGCTAATGGTGAACCTGAAAACGGAGACCTGCTGAGCTGATCCTCGACGAAGCACCCCGGGGGAACATTCCATGGTCCCTAAAGACCACCAGCGTCTGCCATGCGTGTTTCTTTCTCCTTCCTGGCGCTCCTCGGCGCGTCACTTGCCCGTGGAAACGTCCAGCGCCGAGAGTGTTCCAATGATACCTGTTTGAGGGCTTTCGTCAGAGAAGGCAGCCCGGCCGAAATATTCTGTGCAACCTACTCTCCCGGACACAGTATTCCAGCATTCGCGGCAAACTGTGATGGATCCGCATCCAGAGTTGAGAGTGCGTGCGCCTGCATCTCCATAACGACCTCGACCACGACAACTACTGTCTCGTCGAGGTCGTTTTCCGTGACGGCGACGGCGACATTGCCCTCGACAACAGGTATACACAACCCTCAGATCATATGGGATCATTGAATTAACCGGTTTCCAATAGCCAGTACGACAAGTGCTCCCACGACTACTACTGCAGCAACAACAACCGCCACCACTACGAGTGCGCCAGACTGCCACTGCACGGCCTGGTCCCAAATTGCCGCTGCCCAATCATTATGTCCACATCTCACCCTAGACAATATCGCCGTCCCCAGCGCTAAAGGTTTGTCTTTGACTAGCCTCCAAGTCGGTGCTACTGTGACCTTCATAGGAAACACCAGCTTCGAGTATACGCCGCGATCAGGGTACAAAATGGTTCAAATTTCGGGGAACAATGTGGTAATCAAGGGCGCCCTGGGGAGCTTCTTCGACGGAGGTGGCCCCCTCTACTGGGACGGTCTTGGAAACAACGGTGGTGGCCCAAAGTAATACATCCACTCCCAAGGGACCGGTCGAATGTGTCCGAGATGATTAACCGAACGCTTCTTGCAGGCCCGGAATCTTCATGAAACTTAGCCTTAAGAACGAATCCCTCGTGACGGACCTCTATGTTCTCAACACTCCTACACACGCCATCGATGTCGACGGAGTCTACGACTCAACCGTCCAGCGGATCATCGTCAATAACTCCCTGGGAGATGCCCCCAATGCCATCAGCAACGGCCTTTCGGCTGGCCACAACACCGACGCCTTCGACGTCGGCAATGTCGAGAATTTGCTCATGCAAGACATCCAAGTCTGGAACCAGGATGACTGCGTTGCCTTGTCCGTCTCCAACAACGTCACCTTCCGGAATTTCTACTGCTCGGGCAGCCACGGCCTCTCTATTGCCGGGGGAGGAAATGGACCGGGCAATAACGTCACCAATATCCTGTGAGTGCGAGCACCGCTAAAGAGTAAGTGAATTCGATTAACTAATAGGCCCCCAGTTTCACCGACTCAGTCGTCACCAACTCATCCTACGGCCTACGCATCAAAACAGACTATAACGCGACGGGCAGCGTAGTCAACGTCACCTACACCAACATCTTTGTGTCCAATATCAAGGCCCAGGGTATCGATATCGAGCAGGACTACCTCAACGGCGGGCCCAACGGCCTTCCAACGAACGGTGTCGCGGTGCATAATATCACGTATAGGAACGTCACGGGATGGGTAGCCGAGGGAGCCGCGGATTACTATGTCCTCTGCGGAGTGGGCAGTTGTAAAGATGTCAAGTACGAGCATGTGAGGATCACGGGCGGCACAGTCGAGAGTAGTTGTAATTATCCATGAAGCGGGTGCCCCGGGCAGTAGGAATGGCGTGGGGCCGCCATGGTGGAGAACGAGAATATCTCTAGGATTAATACAGTATTCAATTCATCCGTTTCCAACATAGTGATTTTAGAGAGTGGGTTAAAACATCAACAAAAATGGGACGTGGAGGGGGCACCCAGCTCAGCGTGGTCCAAAAAAAGTTCAGCGTGGCCCAAAAGATTCTGACTAATTTTAGGCCACGCCGAGGTGCCGGATCTCACCGGGGCCCAAACCCCTATATTATATAATATTTTTTTAATACGAACATTCTTTTAAGGACTTTTATTTACCCCTTTTCAAGGTCATTACAAGGTATCGAATTCCACAAGATGTTAGCGCCTTAGTTCTTACTATCACTATTCGAGGATTCTAGTCCTGACTTACTTGATTCTGAGGTTGATATCTCTACGCGATCTACTACTAGCGCTGTATTAGAGATTAATCGAATTCTTTATAATCTTCTATCTGTAAGTGGTCCTTTTATATATACTATATACGAGACTTATGTTTTAAATCAGCGACAAAGATTAGACGCTAAAACTTTAGTATACTAAGATTGTATTAATATATATAAATTATCTGATCTCGATCCTTATAAGAATAATAAGGAAAATATTAGCTCCTTAGGTTCTAACGCTCTAACGTAACTAAGCTAAATAGGTATAGAAATAGACGGGACTAAAGTAAGCGGTAGCTCTAGAGATACTATAGTTACCTACGAAGTCTAGGAGTATCTTATTCTTCTAGAGTATCCCGATATAGCTAATAATAGTATTTTTGTGAGCAAGCGATGCTGCGCAGGTTGGTAAAGAGGAAGATAAATTAAAGATGATTAAATAAGATCGATTGATCTTTCTTCCTCTTGATTGAATAGGAAGGATAAGTTCAATTCGGCTTAGAATTATAAAGATGAGAGAAAAGTAAAGTAGGACTGAAGCTTGGTTGATTGTATTGAATCTTGCTTGTATGTTATCAACATAATTATTATCTTGGTAGAGAAAGCAGGGCATATTTATAATCAACTTGTCTCTTGCATATGATCGTTCTAGATAATACATAATAATCTCATGCAGACAGATCTAGATGTATAGTGATCTTATACAGTAGCTGTTTGATCGGTGGTTGCTTGATTGTACGATGTCATTAACTATAGTGATGATATAGATCGTATACTGTTGTATACGTCTTACTTGATGTTATTAACCGTAGTAATGATAGTATAGCATAAAGCTTATAGAGATTTAGCTATCTTGTATAGGCCTTATAAATCCTGTATAGCGGTTTAGGCATCTTGCCCTATATCTTACACCCCCCCGTAATCTTTATACTATAGTATAGATAGTAGTAGAGTATAGAGATTAGTATAGAGTAGATAGGATCGATATATATATATACTACTATAAGATAGCTAGATATATATCTTCCTAAATCTCGATCTCTCGGAGGTTAGCTAGATTCTTCAGGTCTTCAAATATTTCTCTTCTAACGTTTTTTGTCAGGAAATCTACTAATTGCAGTTTAGTGGGGACGTATTGAATATCAACCCTTTCTTATTTAACCTGATCTCTAATATAGTGATATTATATATTAATATGCTTCGTCCTTTATAAAATTCAGGGTTTTCGGCTAGCTTAATAGCTACCTTATTATCTACTAAGATAGTAGGTTTACTAGGCGTATAGCCTAGGCTTAATCTATTATTTAGATAGCTAAAGAGATTAGCTAGATAGATAGCTTCTCGTATAGCTTCTTTTATAGCTATATATTCGGCCTCGTAGGTAGATAGAGCTACTAATCTTTATAGTATCGAATTCCAGCTCACTATATTATTAGTAGCTAGATCTCTAGATAGGCTAAATATATAGCTAGTAGTAGATTTTCTACTACCGATATCGCCTAACTAATCAGCATCAGAGTAGCCTTTTATATATAGGTCATTCCCTATATAATCGTAGTATAGGCCTAGATTTAGCCGATATTATAGATATTACTATATCTTCTTTAATTCAGAGATATATAATTAGTTATGATTGCTTATATATCTTAAGTAATAGGTAACTAGATAGGCTATATCAGGCCTAGTCTTTAGGCTAGTATATAGTAATAAGCTAATCTCTTTTTAATAGAGATTAATAGTTTGCTCTGAAGCTTTTAATTGATTTTTTCTTAGGTAGATCCCTGCTTTACCCGGCGTTTTCTTTAGCTATTTACTAGTAGTAGCAAATTTTGACAAGATCTTTAATATATAATCATTTTAATCGATAGTTATCGATTAATCTTGATAATTTAGGCTGATATTATTACCTAGGAAGGTAGCTAATTCGCATATCTCTTCTAATTAGATATACTACCTAGCCGTAGTAGCTAGCTTATTAATATAAGCTAGATCTTTGTATATAATAATTATATCATTAACATATATAATAATAATAGCCTAGGTTTTGCTATTTATATATATACCCTCGTCGATAGGAACTCTATCGAATCCGAGGTTCGCGATAGCCTTTATAAAGAATTCAGACTAAAGCCTCGGTACTTACTTTAGGCTATATAGGGCCTTCTTTAGGTAGCAGCACTTATTTTGATAGGCAGGGTCTCCTAGCCTATATAGACTAGTTAGCAAGATAGTATATATATCTGTGAGATATAGGGCAAGATGCCTAAACCGTCATGCAGTATATCAAGCCAGATTCATAAGGCCTATACAAGATGGCTGAATCTCTATAAGCTTTATGCTATACCATCATCACTACGGTCAATGACATCAAGTAAGACGTATACAACAGTATACGATCTACATCATCACTACGGTCAATGACACGATCTACATCATCACTACAGTCAATGACATCGTACAATCAAGCAACCACCGATCAAACAGCTACTGCATGAGATCACTATGCATCTAGATCTATCTGCATGAGATCATCATGCATCATAGACAAGTTGATTATAAATATGCCCTGCTTTCTCTACCAAGATAATAATAATGTTTAAAAAACATACAAGCAAGATTTAATACAATCAACCAAGCTTCAGTCCTACCTTACTTTGTCTCATTTCATCTTTATGATTCTAAGCCGAATTGATTTTATCCTTCCTATTCAATCAAAGGAAGAAGATCAATTAATCTTACTTCCTCTCTACCTAACCTGCGCAGCATCGCCTGCTCACAATATCACTATCGATATCGGTATATACGAATGCGTTTTTAACGTCGTATTACCTGATATACTAATTTTTGTTTATCGCGATAATTAATATTATATACTAGGTTTCTATTCTAGTAGTAGTAGAGAAGGTTTCTAGGAAATCAACACCTAATCGTTGATTAAATCCTTGTATAACCTATCTAGCCTTATAGCGAATCGTTTTATTCGTATTTGTAATATAATTAGCCTAGATACCTGAGGCATTCTTTATAGGCTTCTTTTTGAATACCTATCTGCCCCTAATAGGTATTATACTAGGGGGTATATCAACGATTTTATAGGTTGCCTAATCTATCAGGCTATAATTTTCGTCCTGACAGGCCCTATACTACTTATTCCTTTTAGCTAATTGCATAGCTTAGTTAAAGGTAGAGGGTTCTTTATTAGTTACTACCGATAATATATAATCGGTAGGCTAATCGTTGATAATAGTCTTTATAAAATCTCTTAGTAGCGTATCTAATATAGTATATATATCTTCGCTATCTTTAGTAGATTTTAATAATAGGATTTGGATCTCTATCTTATAAGACGGATCCGCTGTAATAGCAGCTTCCTTACTAGCTTTTCGCTTAGTAGGCTTACTAGCTAATTTGCTAGTTTCTTTACTAGCTGATTCGCTAGTTTCTTTACTAGCTGATTTGCTAGTAGATAGGCTAGTAGATTTACTAGTAGATTTACTAGTAATCTTCTTTTTGATAGGGTTTACTACTTATTTAGCAGATCTTTTCTTAGTTCCTAGTTCCTGATTAGCTAGATCAGATTAATTCATCAGGAATCTACCTTCTAAGATAGTAGGGTCTCTTAACTAAACTATCTTTTTCTACTTTAGGTTATATAGCTTATAGTGCTTCTATTCACTATAGCTAATAATAATAGCTATAGATTTTCTTAGCGATAGCTTACTAGGCAGGTTTTTGTTTATATAATAGTAGGCAATAGATCCCTAGGTCTTTATATACCTAATAGCAGGTAAGCGCTTATGATATATCTTATAGGGTGATTTGAACCCTAGAGCACTGTGTAGGGTTATATTATATAGATAGGTAGCAGCTAATAAGGCTTCTCCCTATATATCTTCTTTTAATCCTAATTAGATTAATAAACATCTGACCTTATTCATAAGTGTCAGGTTTATACGCCCAATTAGGCCATTTAGCTCTTTTATATAGATAGGCGTAGTTCGGTGTATAATACCGTATCTTCCTAATAATATATAGAAGTTATTATTCACGTATTTAGTACTATTATCGGTAAATATCTCTTTAATCTTCTTATTAAGCTGGTTTTCAACTAATTGCTTATATAAGGTAAATTTCTTAATAGCTTCGTCTTTTAATCGAAGTAGAGATATATATAGATATCTTAATACTTTATCAAGAAACGTGATATAGTAGCGATAGCTATTATAGGTCTTAGGGCTAATAGGCCCTCTAATATCGCTATATATTCTTTCGCTAATACCGTATTCGGTAGCAGAAGTAGAAGATTTATTGATCTTCCTATCATATTTTAACTATATACATATTTCGCATATATCTTGTATATAATCTCTTATTTCTGTATTAGATAGAGATATATTTACCTGGCTTAATAGCCTTTAAAGTAGTATTAGGCCTATATAGCCTAATCTATTATGCTAAAGTTTTAAACTAGTAATATTACTAGTACTTTAGATAGATTAATCTTGATAAATCATATTAGATAGATCTTTTAATTTTGATTTTGATTAGCCAGAATCTTCCTTATATAGCTTTGTATACATCA